TGAAATGGTAATGAATAATTAGACAATTATAAATAAATATTAATTGTGTTAATAATGAATTATTTGAACTTATTTATGTGGGTTATTATATCACCTTTCTGTGAACATGACCATATTCATTGTTTATCAAACTTGGAATACAAAATCACTTGAAGAACAGATGACCTCTATTGATTTCAAGGTCAAAAAGCAAACCATGTGTCTGTGACAATATATTAGACTAATCTGCTTGATCAGGCTTCATGAAATTCAGTACAAATAATCACCATAAAGAAAGAATGACATTAAGTATAGATTTTCAAATTCAAACTACTGGTACGGTCATGGATTTAAGGCAAAAACTTGATTGAACTGCAGAATTGCAAACTACATTGCTTTAACAAACTTAAATTAAACTTAGTATGCATTATGATTGTGGTATGAGGACCTAACCCTTAGCATGCTTAGTGTTGTTCAAGGGCAGATATCTCTGGTCAAGGGGAGTTTAAGAAGTCAGTCTACAGCTAGATAAAAATATTTTTTAACATGATTCAGTTCATTTAAAGTTGGCACCTCTGATCCTCATGGTTAGAGGGCCCTCTATTGATCCAAAAAACAAAAGTAGAGCTGGGGTCAAGAGTCCGTATCAAATCCTTGTTAATAATGCAAGTTTGTAACCAGTGATTGAAAGATCAATGTGTGGTCAAGGTCAAATCGTGAAGTAGATTAATTGTAATATATATAAACTTACCTGTTTTAAAATTATTACTAATATAAGCAGCTGCACATTAATTGTACAGTTTTGTCACAGTTGAATTTGTTACATATGTTTGTTGTTATGTTAAAAAGTTCAAAGACATTTCACTTATATTGTTGTTGGTTGATATTCCTGCCTTAAAATTTTATGGTTATTTACAATTTGATTTAAAAAGGCCATCTTGCATTAAGTGACATTATACATGTAGCTCAATAGTTTTCTGCTTTAAAAAATAGATTTCCCGTAGAAAAGTGAGAATTGACATTTTTTGTAATTTGTTTTTGAAAAGTAAGAAATTTGGAATCAACTTTTTAAAGAAATATACAAAAATTTCTTGCAGAGGTAAACCAAATTTAAATAAAAAATTGATCCTGTTGCCTTCTTAAAAAGATATCAGGTAAATTAGTGGTACAGGGTAAGCAGATTTTTTTTAATAGTCAAGTTTAAGTAGGGAAGTGCTTACTTTTTCCAACAAAATACTGATTTTACTGTATTTGAGGCTTAACACAGATTTTTTTAATCTGTATTAATATAAAAAGGGGAGATAATTCATTGATATAAAATATTGATATATTGGATAGAAAATAAAACAAACTGCTATGAATATATGTTGAATTTACTACTTCACCTAGAACAATCTTACATGTTTATAAAATATTTATAATAATGATTTATGGTTTTGTTTAAATTGAAATTTTTCATTTGTGTAGAATTTATTGAAATAGACATGATGAAATTCTACAATGTTTTTTTTTATCTAAATTCAAAATCATGAAGTTAAAATTTTGAAAATCTTTAATTGTTATTAGTTTAATGTTATAATTAATGGATGGCGAAAATAAACATGCAATGTCAGGCTTCATCTTTATATTTTACATTTTGCTGTTGGCTATAACAGTTGCAGTAGACATGGGACTATTGGAGAATTAATTATGAGTGCGAGGTTTTTGTGTCGCCTGCGACAGAGTAAACTCGCTAAAGCTTTATATTTCAGAAGGTAGAGATCTGAATGCTTCATACCTTGAATGCAGATGCCTTATTTTACCAAGTTAAGTCTGTCATATGACCATTGCCTTTGACCTCATATTCATGGTTCAGCAACTGCTTGAAACAAAATGTTATTTTTTTGTCATTTGAATTATCACTTATTATTAGTATTAGGATAACTATATTTGGTATATGGGATCATTGCAAGGTCTATATTTCCATCTGACTAGGTTCACCTGACCTTGAACTCATTTCATTGATCAGTGATCAGGGATATTTTTTGTGGTCAAGTCCATATTTCAGATACTATAAGCAATAGATTAGCTATATTTGATGTATGGAATTATTGTAAGGTGTACATGTCAGAATGGCAAGTTTCATATGACCTTTTGACCTCATCTTCTTGGTTCATTGATCAATGTTAAGTTTTTGTGGTTTGGTCTATTTCTCAGATACTATAAACTATGGACCATATTTGGTTTATGGAATGATTGTAAGGGTGTACATGTCTTGTCTGGTAGGTTTCATCAGACCTTGGCTTGACCTCATTTTCATGGTTTTGGTCAATATTAAATGTTCATTGTTAAGTATGTTTCTCAGATACTGTAAGCAATAGGTCAACTATATTTGCATGGTGAACATGTTGTCTGGCAGGGTTCGTCTGACCTTGACATCATTTTTATGGTTCAATTCATTGATCAATTTTCAATTTTTTTTATGTCTTTCTCAGATACCATAATCAATATGTTAACTATATTTAGTGTATGGTTTGATTGTAAAGTGTACTGGTCTGTCTAGCAGGGTTCATCTGACCTTGACCTCATTTACATGGATCATTAATAATATTAAATTTATGTGATACTTGCAGTAAAACCTTAATATTACACACTATCAAATAAAATTCAATCAAGTAAAACAGGCGAGACATTTCAGTGAATGTACTCTTGTTAAGCCTTTTCCACTAAGTGAGCAGAGTAAATAGTTCACTCATTCTGTCATTTTGTCTTGTTTCTGTTATTCCTGTAGATATGGAACTGATTTTTGTCTCCCCTAAGAGACAAATGAGTTGCTTTTCAGGCTGCACCCTTGTTGCTAGCAGCGTCTTTCTTTTCTATAAAGTTGCATATTAGTTTTATAACTATTTCAAGATCCTGCTCCCTAGGTCATGGTCCAGTGACTTCATTTTAGTAAGTAATTTTCAATGTTAAGTTTTCTGCTTAAGTTACATGTAGTTTGATATTAACTACTTGTGATAGATCAATGTTATTTTCAATAAAGTTGCATTACTATCAGTACATATCAGTTTGACGACTATTTCGAGGCTCTGCTCCTGTAGGTCATGGTCTAGTGACTTCCAATTAATTACCAAATTTCAATAGTAGTAAGTTTTCTGCTTTCTGTCGATAAATTAAGATGAAATTTATGACAAGGTTACTGATTGAATCATGTGTATCTGAAACTCAGATGGTGATTTTTTTACAGTTGTAAATGCATCAGATATATTTGTCAAATCTTGATATCTCTCCATGAAATAGCGTAAGCATGACAGGTATAGGTATATTTTTGTTCAAAATATTTGATAGGGTATGTATTTTTGTTATTGAAAATATTGGCAAAGTGTGGGGTACTCAATGTCTCAACTGCTCACCCCTACTACAAAAAAGGTCTAAGTGGTCCATCTAAGTCAGTGGGTTACAGTTCAGGCTTGCCTTTGGTATCTGATGACATACTTTTCTGCATTTAACATTTCCGAATGGTTTGCCATGGAGAGGGCTTGAACATAAATCAATATCAATGACTTGATAAAAAGGATTCACAAATGTTTCTGGAGATTAAAGGCACAATAGAGCTCCAGTCTTGCATCTTATTTGTTATGAAATAGCATCCAGCTCTTAGCTATGAAGAGAGTTTGACTGATTCAACTTCAAGTCAAAAGGTTAAGGTCACAATATGATTTAAAGCTTGAATATAGTTCTGTTTATTGTGTGGCCATCAGTAAGTGCTTTATGCTATCTTATTTCAAGTGGGATCATGGTGACCATAATTGTTTGCAAGCAAAAGCTAGCACTGGCAGTACAATATTCCTGGCCATGAAGAGAGATTGAACACTTCTTTAATTCATCATTTGGGCAATAACTCCTACAAGAATTTGTCTTAAAACAGTTTTGATGTAAATGGACAGCAGGTAGATCTCAACATTGTGAACATTTCTGCCACTGTCAGATTTTCTCTATCTATAGTGGGTTTTATAATACTATAGACATTTTACCCTTATGTTCTATTGTCGACCATGTTGATTGGCAGTCAGGATCATTGGACATAATTAAATTAGAAATGGACATGAATTATTTGTTCTATGGTGTTTGGTTGTCTCATTAGCAATTATACCCGACCTCCAAGGTCATGCTGATTTGTGAATTCTATACAGTGTTGGTTGTCTCATTAGCAATCATACCCCACCTCCAAGGTCATGCTGATTTGTGAATTCTATACAGTGTTGGCTGTCTCATTAGCAATTATACCCCACCTCCAAGGTCATGCTGATTTGTGAATTCTATACAGTGTTGGTTGTCTCATAAGCAATTATACCCCACCTCCAAGGTCATGCTGATTTGGGAATTCTATACAGTGTTGGCTGTCTCATTAGCAATTATACCCCACCTCCAAGGTCATGCTGATTTGTTAATTCTATACAGTGTTGGCTGTCTCATTAGCAATTATACCCCACCTCCAAGGTCATGCTGATTTGTGAATTCTACACAGTGTTGGTTGTCTCATTAGCAATTATACCCCACCTCCAAGGTCATGCTGATTTGTGAATTCTATACAGTGTTGGCTGTCTCATTAGCATTTATACCACACCTCCAAGGTCATGCTGATTTGTGAATTCTATGCAGTGTTGGCTGTCTCATTAGCAATTATACCCTACCTCCAAGGTCATGCTGATTTGTGAATTCTATACAGTGTTGGTTGTCTCATTAGCAATTATACCCCACCTCCAAGGTCATGCTGATTTGTGAATTCTACACAGTGTTGGCTGTCTCATTAGCAATTATACCCCACCTCCAAGGTCATGCTGATTTGTGAATTCTATACAGTGTTGGCTGTCTCATTAGCAATTATACCCCACCTCCAAGGTCATGCTGATTTGTGAATTATATACACGAACACTCAACTATGAAATGTGAATATATCACCAAAAAAAAAGAATATATATCTTTATAAAATAACGATGTTTCTACAAGGAGGACTTAAATAAAAGAAATGACAAAACAGGTTGAACGTACATTAGTACATTTATAATATATTTCATGCATAAAATGTAAAATAAATACATTGGTCAAATATAACAGATAAACCATAACAAGTTTCTGGATAATCAATTTTAACAGAACATTTCTTTAAACTGGACGAATTAAAGTAAAACTGAAAATACTGTTCAATTCTTAAATCTGTTTTGGGGCCTACACAATCAAAGATTTGTACAATCTATTTCCTACAATTTAGTGAGTGGGCTTTTTATTTTAAGTCAAGAGTCTAATAATTTAGATCAGAATTCCTTTTTATACAACACTTATTAATTTTCTCACACATCATAATCTGAAACTCATAATGTTAAAATGATTAATGCACAATAACTCCAACAACAAAAAAAAGCAAAAGATTTTTTTTATAACATTGTTAAAAAATAATTAAAAGGAATAAACTTTTAAGTCATAAAAAGATTAAATGCAGTTAACAGGTATTAATTTGAAGTTAAAAAGATATACAGTATATACAATTAATGTACATTGTATAAAAATATATATTCCATATTAGTACAAGTTTTAGAAACATGGTAAAAAAAGGGGTCACCTAGTGTAACTCCTGTTTTATAGTGTGTAAATGAATTATACATTTTTAGACAATGCATGTGTATTGTTTTCATCCTGCAATTTAATATAAACTGAAATTGTTTACATTTCAAGCTGTGTTATTTGTTAATACCTTAAATTGTGACTGCTTGGATGCAGAATGCACTTTAGGATACTCTAAATTGAACTGATGTAATTGTATTTGAATTTTATTTTTGAACTCATTAGAAATGATGGACACCAGGAGACAAACATATGTAAATTTATATGTACACCTTTATTAGCATGGCATGTCATCAACTGATTGCATGATAGATTAAACACTCACCATATACTAGTATCATAGTTTCCAAAATTATCATTTTATTGCTGGTCAAGTAGTTAAAATTTCATAATAATCCACCTGATATTTGGCTAAAAGGTGCCAAATGTGGATTTGACACATCCATCAATGTAAATAAATACCCCTTTTTTAAAAAAATAAAATTATTTGATTCAACATTTTGTATATGAATAATATTTTAACACTGAGATATAAAAAGTATATAAGTTGTAAAGTATAAGTAATGTTCATACACAATAAAAACAAAGTGTTCTCTCTCTATGTTCAATTAAAAATTGCTATTCCATGCTTGTGATAATCTTGGTGCTTTGAATTCAGTGGAACTAGGTGCACTACTGACAAAAGACTGGTCTCTGGAAACAGACTCTTTAGGACCAGTGACACTCATAAAAGACCTTTCTCTGTACAAAATTTCATCTGTGTCTTTTTCATTTGATCCTGTACCACACCCACAACTAAGTAATCCACCTAGAGTTAAGGGGGAAGAATTATTATAAAACATATATCTTGAGAATTACATTAACATGCAGTCATATTTAAAGGCAGTTAGAGTCATCACCTTTATTTCTTAAAGAGGATCAAAAACATTTTATTTCCCCCAGAGTTTGGTAGTAATTTGACATTTACTAGATGTTTCATATTTTTTTATTGATTAATTTGTCAAATTTTGAACTTTCAATAAATTTGGTTGTTATGCTTGATATTGGTTAGGATCATGATATATAAATCTTAAATAGGATTGTTTATTTCATAATTTTTCAACAAATTGTCTGCTATATGATCTTTAAAGATTTTAAGATACTTTATTTGAACCCTATCTACTATTTCAGTAACTGTAGCCATGATGATATCAATATATGTTTTAAACTAAACACCTTAAGAAAGATTGTTCAGTCAGCACATTGTATTCAGAGAAGATATTTTAAAAATTACACTACCCAACTGTTAACAGATGAGAATTTAAACAATATGAAAAGCTCACACTAGGTCTTTGGTTTGGGTTGGATTAAAGGGGATACAAACTATTCTGTGGTCTTTTTATTGAAATCTATTCAGAAATTTTCACATGGGATTTTTTAAAATGCTAAAAGAAAAAAAAACTTCTGTTTCTTGGTGAATATTCTAGCCTAGCAGTCAAATACAAATTTGTTTTGGCACTTGAACATTTGGTATACCATTTATGGAGTTTTAATTCTATCAATGTCAAGTCTTGTCCATTGTCCAGTGTATATAATAGTGGATATTTTGCCCTTAAATGCTCTGACTCGTAAAGGATGTCTTAAAGAAAGGTGTGCATAGTCAAAGGATTCAGTTCTGGTGATAAAACAGGTAAACGCCATTATACATATGTAGGACTCTAAAGTGTGATGATCATGCTAAAGTGCCATGGTCTACGCTAAAGTGCGATGGTGTCAGACACTAAAGTGGGATGGTGTCAGACACTAAAGTGCCATGGTAGTTTGTTTTTTAAAGTGCAATCAGATGACACGCTAAAGTGCTATGGTATATGACACGCTAAAGTGCAATGGTATAACACGCTAAAGTGCGAAGGTGTAACAGGAATGGGGTTCAGGCAATGGTTTTTGTTTTTTGCTGTGTTCCTATTAGTCTTTCGTTTATTGTTTGGATATAAATCAGTCCGTTATTTTTTCTCGTTTGAATTGTTTTACACTGGGGGTTTTGATACCTTTTGGTCTTTATAAAATACTTTCTGCGGGATTAGCCAACGCTCGCGTTAAAAGCCATATGGTAACCGACAGTTAATTACATTAATGACATTTAGTCTTGTCTCATTGGCAATCATATTATGATACTACACCTCTGGTCGTTAGGTTACTGTCTTGTTCACAAGTATCTATCTCTTTAACAGACATGACAAACCATATTGTAAAAAATAGTTTTATAAAATAATTCAATTAGAAAGTAAAAATAGTAGCTTTTAATTCACGCAAGTAAATGAAATGGGATTACAAACATAGAAGGAGTTTCTAAATCAAATTTGGACGAATTAAATACTTTGACACATTTTGCAGATTTCACTCTCTTTTACGGTATACACCTTCCCTGACTATCATCAGTTTCTATGTTCATGAGAAGTCTTTTTTTTCCAGTTTCCTGACAGCAACACGTTTGTCCCCGCCGACAAAGCTGAATTTGGTTTAAAATCTATAAGCCATTAACATCAGGATCAAAGGTTTGCATTTCTGTTACTGTGGATGATTTTTTTGGGAAGTAACTCCTACTGATACAAACTCTTTAAGCACTGACCAAAAATGTTCAGGATCGGGATCATTTGTTTCTCTTTTCTTTCTTCTCTTGTCCAGTAAAAAAAACCTTCATCTGCACAAACATTCCCGTTTTACCGGCATGTCCATTTTTGTTTGTACAAACAGCTTGTAACGTCATAATGCTATTTAATGTTGCAAACGTCCATACTTTCCCAAACAAATGCACTTTCGCGGAAAAAAGCACTTTAGCGTATCGCGGCATCAGACTTCAGCTTGTTCCATCAAATAGCACAGACCATTCCACTTTTGTGTGACCATTGCGTTTTAGCGTCCCCATCCCACTTTAGAGTCCTATATATAAACAACATATCATTAATAAACTCTTACTTTACTGAATTTTTAATTTATTTCTTGAAACTATTTACCTGTGACCTGTATTTTGTTTTTGGATTGAGACTTCATTCTCCACACAACCAATATAATCACAATCAACAGTACACATCCAACAATTGAACCAACAATAATAGCCATTGGAACTTCAGAACTGTCATCATTCTGTAACATATAATTAAAGATACATACAAACAATTACAGTGTAAGATGACAAGATTACTTACCAGCAGGTTTATAAGTATTTTGAGCATGCTTTAAGTAATTGAGAGCATTCTTTAATGAGGTATAATATTGTTTATTATTTTGAGTTGCTGTTATCTATTTTAGTTATTATTTTATTTTTTGTGATTTATTATATTTATGTTGTGTTTTTTTGTTATCTATTAATCAAAAGTTATTATTTTGTGTTTTTGTTATCTTTTATAGTTATTATTTTGTGTTTTTGTTATCTTTTATAGTTATTATTTTGTGTTTTTTTTGTTATTTATGATATCTATTTTGTGTTGTTATCTATTATAGTTCATATGTTGTGTTTTTGTTATTTATTATGTGTTGTTATCATCTATCAAATTGTTATCATTTTGTGTTTTTTGTTTATTTTTGCTGTTTAAGGTATTGCAGTCTCATTAACGTACACCCAACATCTCCTTTTATTCAAAATTAATTCATATAAAATAAATGAACAAAATATGAACATTATCCTGTCTTGATAAAACTAGGTACAAACTTAAAAAGAAAGTTGTGCTGAAACTACTACAGACATAAAAGTAGACCAAAAATCAGCTTAAAAAGAGGGAGATGCTTTATGAAGACCAAACATGTTCTCTAAAATCAACAAAGTTATAGACAATGAAAATAGAAATTTTAAAAGTGAATATGTTTAAATTTTTCAACTTAAATGTAACATCCAGAGGTCATTTATGAAAAGCAAGTAATAGTTACCCCCACCCTATACATTTTTATTATTTCTTACTATTTTCTGATACAGCCATAATATATAAGTTTTCCAGAAATCTGTGAGAGACAAGTACATGCTTTCATAGAAATTCATCAGATATTTTGTTCTGGATTTTTAATGTGCTAACTTATAATCCATCATTTCAAATTGACAAATTTCAATCCATCAAGTGCATAAAACCAATGATAAGTTATTAAAATGCTGTAGAATAATAATCTGGATGAGCTATAGAGTACACAAAATTCTTAACTGCACAATTAATATTTTTTATACACTGAATGAAGTTATGAGTGGAGAGAAATTCATCAATGTAAACTTACATCTGGGATAACTTCACATGCCTCTCCATAAAATACACTATCATTATAATACATGTATTTGGACAATTCCAGGGCCTGTCCATTATAGTTTATTGTCTGTCCATCTGTGAGCATAGAACATGTTGAATACAAGGAACTGTTGATACTATCATGGCTTCCTGATACATTCAGGGTTACCAGAATACTCCCTGTGAATAACACAATAAACTGTTAACACAGAGATATGTCTCGCCTTTTTGTACTTTTGATAATGCAAATGTTGAAATTAAAATAGCAATACTTTAACATGTAAGTTATGCAAATATTCAAAGTCGATGAACCATGACTGAAGGTACATGGCAAAACAATCTCCATGGAAATTAGATGTTCCAATGCTAATACAACTGCATACCAAATACCATAGACTTATCATAAGTCATTCCCTTTCAACAAACCTAAACACAAACATTGACTTGTAAACTATGTAAAAGTTTCAAAATCAATGAACCATGATGAGGGGTGGGGCTATATAATCCATGGAAACGAGACTTGCAAATGCAAATACATTTCCATACCAAATATCATTGACTTAACATTAGCGGTTCAATTCTTAAACTGATCTAATCACAAACTAATACTTGTAAACTAAGCAAAAGTTTCAAAGTCAAAAGACCATGACTGATGGGGTGGGGCCAAATATTCTCCATGGAAACGAGATGTGCTAATGCTTATACAACTGCATACCAATTATCATTGACCTACCACTAACGGTTCCCCTTGAACTGACCTAATCACAAACTAATACATGAAAATGAAGCAAAAGTTTCAAAGTCAATAGACCATGAATGAGGGGGTGGGGCCAAATAATCTCCATGGAAATGAGATGTGCCAATGTGTATACAACTGCATACCAAATATCATTGACCTACCACTAGTGGTTCCCCATAAACTGACCTAATCACAAACTAATACATGTAAACAAAGCAAAGTTTCAAAGTCAATAGACCTTGACTGAGGGGCGGGGCCAAATAATCTCAATGGTAATGAGATGTACCAATGCTATTACAACTGCATACCAAATACCATTGACCTACCACTAGTGGTTCACCATGAACTAGACATAATCACAAACTAATGCTTTGTTGACGCCGCTGCCGTTGCCGCTGCCGCCGCTGCTGCCGCCTGAAACAGCATACCTATGTCTCGCTTTTTGACTCTGTCAAGGCGAGACAAAAATGGTAATAAATATTGATAGATAATAATAGAGATTTAACAAATCAGGGAAGCTTACCAAAATACTTTCAAACTTATCTCAATATCCAATTGTTTAACACTCAATTGTAAGAAAAGCACATAAATTTATGCCCCGTGATTCAATATTTTGCTAGAGGGACTGTATTTACATAAAACAACTTAAATTAGAGAAGTATAAAATGCCATTATGTACCAAAGATATCCTGAAATGTTAAGTAGTATATATTTCGCTGTTATCTTATTCCGCTAGTCAATAAAGAGCTGTGCCATGAGTGCATGATATGCCCGTCCCCAACTGGACAGTTTTTGAAAATTTACAACTAATAAAGTTCCACAACTCCACAATGTCATGTCAGAAATTTATAACGAACAAAAGGGAGCTTATTTCAATAGATATAAACAAGTTACCAAAGTTTCATGATAACTGATAAAAGCATTTATGAGTTATTGTCCGAAATACTGGAAAATCCCCCTTTTTTTTATGAAAAAATTCCCAATGCTCCAATATGTAAAATCAAAAATTTTTAAAAATCGAATGAGAACTTTAATATGTCAATATATATACACAATTCACCAAGTTTCATGAAAATTTATCAAAGCATTTTTGAGTTATAGTCAGAAAACTGGAAAAATCCCCCATTTTTTATGAATAAAATCTCATAACTTGGAAACGTAAAAATTTAAAATTTATAAAAATCGAAAGGGAGCTTACGTCAATAGATACAAACAATTCACCAAAGTTACATGAAAATTGGTGAAAGTGTTTTTGAGTTATTGTCTGACATGTTGATGATGGATGGACAATGGTATACCTTAATACGTCCCATAAACGGGCGTAATAAAAACTTACCTAAAATTTGATATGGAAACATGGGATATAAAATACTTTCAAAACAAGTTGTTTTCATTATGAGTGATTGTAATTTTAACTATGAAATGGCGAAACTCTTTATATTCTCAAATTCACATAACTGAACCTTATGATAGTGTTGCTGGTCTAAGTTTTGTATGTTTAGATTCATTTAACTTTCATACAGGGTCTTTAAAATGAGTATTGTATTCCTAGCCACAATACAAGATTTCTTTAAATATACCTGGTTGCAAAGATACTGAATTGATCTGTAAATCTTCATACATAACAGCAAACCAATTTCCAAACATTGCTTTTGCATAACGATCATCTGATCCAACTACTGTGTTATAATCCCCATCTATCTTTAGAACAATATCATTGGTCTCCTCATGGGTCATAGACTTGTGCTGCAATTGTTTGACGTTGACAAAATGTGGTATAGTAAAATTGTACTCCGGAGGATTGGTAGTCACATGGAAATTAATTATAGCCATTCCAAATGATGTAAATGTCAAATCTGAGAATGTTGCCTGACTGCTAGAACCCCAAAATTTCTGGTTACTTGCATGTAAAGAGCCATTATAATATTCTGGGGTTCCCATATCTGCTTGAACATTCCATTCATGTGACTACAAAAGAATGTATTAGTTTAAAGCACAAGTAAAATTTACAATACCTTAAAAGATTCATTGATATTTGTAGGAAACCAGTAGTTCATGGTAGGAGTGACATTTCACTAGTTCAGAAATTAACCTACATGGTTTCACCAATAGCTCCCAACACAGTAGCTCTAGATTTGTTTTTCATCAAACATTTAAATTATCTTGTTTTCTCTACATATTGAAAAGTTTGCATCAGGTGTAATACCACCAAATCATAGTACATCACATCCGGTTTCATACAAAAAAGGGTGGGAACAAAATATTCACTTAATTTTGACAGTTGTAGGAAATTAACCCTGCATTTCATTGCATAAAAATATTTCTGAGTCATAAACATATATCTTTGGTGTTTAAAAGCACCATTCTTTTTTTATTTGCTGTTTCTATAAAATATGTTGGAAACTTCAGGTGATATGGTTACTAAAGCTTGTTAACAGGAAAAAAAGAGATGAAAATTTGATTGGTTTACTTCTGGTGATGGTTATTATCTTATATGTAATGAAATGTTATGTGTAATGTTCACTGTAGTACTGGACTGGATAAAACTTGAATCATGCCAATTATTTCTTTATTTGAAACAAAGATAAATTCTGCAAAATTTTTTTTTGAAAAGTGTCAATTCAACAAAGACTAATATGGAAAAATCAATGATGGTATTACTCCTTCACACAAATATTAATGAATTGACAGATGAATTGCATTATAAAGAACTAAATAGTAGTCATTATATGTTAAATGACACCTACCTAAGGTTAAGTAGAACTCTTAATAAATAAAACTAATGTTTCCTTCTGTAAGAGTCTTAATGGACTTGTGGGAAATAAATGAGTTAAATTTCAAAATTCAAGGGCCTTAATCTGGAAATAATTGAAAAAAAAAAGGAAATTCTTCCCATTTGCACATTCATAAACCAGAAGTTTAATAATTTTCAAGAAGACAATGACAATTTTTCTGTACTTAAAGGAGCAATACTAAGAGTAAAATTAACAGAGTAAAAAAATGAACGTGTCCATAGTTCACGGATACCCCACTCGCACTATCATTTTCTATGTTCAGTGGACCGTGAAATTGGGGTCAAAACTCTAATTTGGCATTAAAATTAGAAAGATCATATCATAGGGAACATGTGTACTAAGTTTCAAGTTGATTGGACTTCAACTTCATCAAAAACTACCTTGACCAAAAACTTTAACCTGCCCACTTGCACTATCATTTTCTATGTTCAGTGGAGCATGAAATTGGGGTCAAAACTCTAATTTGGCATTTAAATAAGAAAGATCATATCATAGGGAACATGTGTACTAAGTTTCAAGTTGATTGGATTTCAACTTCATCAAAAATTACCTTAACCAAAAACTTTAACCTGAAATGGGACAGACAGACAGGCAGACGGACGGACGGATGCACAGACAGAAAAATATAATGCCCCTTAGGTAGGGCATAAAAACAGAGGTGGATTTAGGGATTAAAAGGGGAGGCTCATGTGAAGCTACATATATGGTTAATTGGTTGATGCACTGACTTTTTACAAATCCCACTTCTAACGTTAACTTGATGCCCCCTTCACTTTCTTATTGGCTATACCATGGCAGTTTTTATTGCTGGAGGAAGTCTGAGTTCCAGGAGAGGACCTCTGACCTTTGACAGGAAAACTGACATTCCTAGTCAAAAAGATTTTTATGAAAATCCCTGCTATACCTTGAGGTGCTTTTTTTTATAAAACATAACTGAATGATAAAACTATGATATTTCAACAATATTACCCTCCATCCAATATTGTCGAGTTTATTCCCTGTCAGTTCTTCTCTTAGCTCCATCTGAATCACCATACTTTCTGTAGTGTAAACATCCTCAGTGGCAGATACAATTACTGCTGTAACAGGTATTTTCTGTATATCCAGTGGTACTGAGGCTAAGGTTAAGTTTTCAGCTTCAATAGGTTCTGTCATGTTAAAGTCTATAATATAGCCCATACCAGGATGACTTATCTCCAGATTACTAAAGTTGGCCTCCCCATTAACAAAAGGTACGGTAGTGTTTCCTGACAATACACCATCTGGATTACCAGTGCCTTGTCGCAGAGTGGCTGTTATATTCCATGGATACAAATCTGTTCCAAGGTCATTTATCTTATCTCCCTAAATAAAAACATTAAAAGATGTATGTACAGGAAGGCCTAAATTTCATTTGGACTAAAAAATACAAGGAAAGCCTAAATTTAACCCTAAAGTCTGAAATATTTCGTATTTGAACTTTGAGCTATAAATTTGGCTGCTATTACCAGACATAACAAAGGTTCTCGTAAATTTTGATGTCACAATAGAAAATTTCTGTCGCCATGAAGGAAAAGTGATTGTTGTATGACATCATTAGTTCAAGTGTTGCAAATTCTCAGGTCAAGTGTTGCAGATTGCCAAATAGCAATAAGGTGTATTTAACACAGGATCACATATCTTCTTCTGGACAAAACAGACAATCTTTTCTTAATATAAGTTAATATTTATAATACCTAACGTGAGCCCTTTCACAAGAATTTAAGAAAAATTACATCACTCATTCATTTCTTTTTGACAGGCAAAAACCATATCCTTGTAAAAATGTATTTTCAAGATTTTGGTATATTTTTCTGATACATTATCTTCAATAAGAGAAAAGGAATGAGGGTTGCTTAATACTGTAAATTCAGAAATTATGGCGAAGTTTTTATTAATGTGATTGCTGAGTATCGCAATAATAAGATCTAGCATTCTGTTATATGATACATATATCTGTATACAGATTTTCCTGAAATCGCAATAACTAAACTCGCATTTTTATCCATTCTTCAACAATTGCCATGATAAATGCATGCAATAATGTCTGAATTTACAGTATTGCTGTTGTCTAAATATGATAAATACCCCTTTGTCATATGCACATATCTTTGGTTGCCTGGGGAATATTGTCCCTTCATATTGTGAAAGAGTGGTTGTTTCAAAGTCTAGATGATCAACTTGTATAAGGATTCGGTATCCATCGTCAGTGGTCACTCTTGACCATTTTGGGTCAGAGGGATCAAGAGTAGGTTCTGCAACACCAAGACCCAATACTGTGGCATTTACAATTTCACTGATATTTCCAACTTCTCCTTCAGTAACTATCTTAGCATACATCTGTTGTAATTGATCCTCTGTAATGGCATCATCAGCTGTTGTGTTGAAATCTACGAACAAAACCATAGAAAATATTTATTACTTTACAAGTTATTTTCTTTTGGCTTTCTTGATAACTGAAATAGAACAGGTAATATGACATTGGATCTAATGGCTTAATAGAATATTTGACATCCCATTTTACAGCTTTCAAAATAAGGATTAGTTAGTTGTTGTTTGCTTAACTTTCTGTTATTTCAGTTATTTCATACATACTCATGGAGTGAACATATTAACAAATGTGTACTGTCAATGGAAAATGAGGGTATATTTGATAGGGGCAGAGTTCTGCCTTGCAACAGGCCTCCTTTGGACCCCCAGGCAGTTGGTGTAAGGGTTTTTTTAGTATGGCAGAGATTGTGTAGTTAGCTTTCACAAATTGCGGACGTAAAAAAATTAAAAAATTTTACTTGGTCCTGGGATCTGACTTTCAAAAATTTTCTAAATCAAATATTGAAATGAGGGACACTCATATATTTGACTTTTTTCTGGATTGAATTTTCCTTGGATGTTCTTTTTAATAGTTGTATTTTTCTATCCCAATTTTTAAAATACAAGAACTTTAACACAATCACAAATCTTAACAATAGTAAGACAGGAAACCATTTTCTTAAGAAAGATCCATAATTGCATTAGAGAAGTTATAAAGAGAAAAATTGTTGGGTGAACAAATGTCTTAAATAGTACTTACAGAAACACTAGATCATGAAGAAAGTAATAAGTACATTGTACTGGTAAACAAAGAATAATGAAAAAAAGTTAAGGAAGAATTAAGTGTTGCTTGTCTCACTAGAAATCGTACAACATCTCCTTTTTGTGGAGTTTATGACATTTATGTCGCGAAATCGAGACATAGCAAGCCATGATTCCATCGTTGGATTCGTCATCAACATCATTTAGGTTCAGAAGTTTTTTTTAGACATCAATTACTTTGCCAAACTTCATGGAATTTTATGAAATTTAGACAGAAGCTTGTTTATGACCAAAAGACAGTATCCAGAGCAAAATTTTGAAATTTTTCCGTATTTTACTGGTAAGATTTTTTTACAGAAAACATTTAGGTTCAGTCTGTGGTTAAAGTTTTTCAGTCATCAATAACTTTGTTAAACCATCATGGAATTTCATGAAATTTGAAAAGAAGCTAATCTTCAAGACCAAGAAATAGCATCTAAAGTAAAAAAAATTATGATTAAGAGATAATGTCTGAAACAAACTTGAAAATATATTTTTTTCATTTCCAATATTTTTCTGATAGATGGACTTAGTTTTTTACAGTTATCATTTACAGACAGTTTAGGATTAAATTTTTCTGACATGATAAATTTGTAAACCTTCATGGATTGATATGAAACTTTGACAGAAGCTAATCTTCAAAAACCAAGATATAGCATCGAAAGAAAAAAAAATTATATTTTTTTTTTATATCCTGTATTTTATTGATAAATGGACTAACTTTTTATAAGTCAATATTACACTATTACAATGTTCAAGAAGTTATCAATATTTTTAAAGTTTACTCTGAATTACCATAGAATAACTAAGCTGGGAATTCCAATATTGAAATAATATTCATAATGAGAGAACAACATATAAATTCACAAATACACATAAAGCATACATGAACAATTTGAATTGTGAGCAAAGCTGACTAATGATTCCCCATCTACAAGTATTTAGTAAACAGGAAGTTGATCAGTGTTGCATGTGAAATGCATCACACCTTATAGCACGAAGGCAATCAGGTCCTGTTTTGACCCAAATATTAGAGTAAATTTGAAAGTAGCCATACATTATCTTAAACATCTCTTTACTGTACTAATCAAGGTAAAAGGTATTTAGAAAATATAAACAAATTTCATGTTTGACGAGTTGTCATGACAACATACCATGATAACAGCTGTATAATTTCTTGATTTTCCTTGTTCTACATTAAATGTTCAATATATTCAGGATTGAAAAAGTATGTGGGCACTTCGCACCTAAGAAACAACTTTATATTTGATGAGATTATGTAAAAAGCTGTAATAAAGCTTCTTTTAAATCATTGTGTTGTTTCTTGGCTGAGGAGGATCTTTTCATAAAGGAAATATGGGACCCATTGTAAAACTGCATGAATTCTACATTTTTCTTCTTTTTCATGGAAAAGGTTCGTTATTCACCGGCCGTGTTTCGTGAAATCGGTAAAAAGATCAATGTGCAAGAAATTTTTAATTGTTCGTTCATCGTGAAATGGCAATTTTATTTCGCGCTCTTCCGTGCAGATACCCCCCTTTATGCCCCTCTTCTCTCAAAAACTTCGTAAGGTTTAAAGTACTCCTTTCAGAAAGCTAGGATTCTTTGTACTCAAGAAAAATGTAAGAAAATTGTATACATATCCATTCTAAATGTATTTATTGATAAATACTTACCATCATTAGGAACATCACCGATCTCAACAACAATCTGATCTCTTTCTGTTGATCTTTTTCTACGTCTACGTTTATTTTGTTGTGCACTCACAATATTAACTACTCGAACCTTTGAGGGAGGAAGATCGAAAAATGCAGCAAGTAGTTCAACAATTCGTTCACCATAGAAATCACTTGCTGTCATTGCTGGGTACATAAAACTGACTATGATTTGTTTAGTGGTCACAATACTGATTGGGTCTGACCCTCTTACAACAAAATAAAGAAGTCCAGAATCACGATCAAACCAGTTTGTTCCAGCTGGATCCTTTGTAGCATTTGGATGGTATGCAAATGGCTTACCAACTGGCGGAGGACTTAAAATGTAAGCATTGTCTATTCCAAATCTACCATTGACAGGCAATACAAGTTTCTTTTGGTAATACACATCCATTCGATAGGGTTGGGAGTACCACACTGCAATGCGGACAGCTTGTGAGTCATCTGCATTCAACAGGAAGTAGCGAGAAGACCTTGGAGATGTACTGGTAAAATACAATTGATAATTTTTACCTGCAAAAATAGAAACAAAATAAATACAGACATAATTGTCGTAACAAAACACTGTGCAAAATTTTTATTAAAATCCAATAAAGAAAATTGGAGTTATCATGTGTTGAAATTTTTAGGAAGTCCCATAATTCTAGAATAAAAATTCTGAAAAAAAAAACCAAAAAAAAACAATAAGGTAGGTTGGATTCAAAGAACTAAATAATGTATAAAAGTAAAAATTTCATTCAGTTAAACTAAACCAAATAAATAAACATATGAGTGAACAGACAGATAAACAACATGCCAAAATTCATCCAACTTTGACAGGCATACACACCGAAAATCTTGCCTCTTTTACCTTTATGTTCTATTCATAGCAACTGTAGCCATTTTGAATGCTTAGCAACTTAATCAATATTGAAACTAAACACCAAAATAATAATTGTAGCCAAGTTTGGTTCAATTTGTCTCTTTGAGTGTAGAGAGGAAAGATATTTTTATAAATATTTTAATATTGGATAATGGGATAGTATATAATGGACAACACAATAGACAAAAGATAATGGAGGCAAAGCTGTACTGGCTCTTCAGACCATGTGAGAAAAATAAAAGTACTTTCACAGTTGATTATTTGTACTTATATTCAGTTGTTTAACAATATGATGTTTTCGGAAAATTAAACTAGTATAGAAATTCAAACCTGTGGCAACAATGGCTTGAAAGGTTGACAAGCGTGATTTACAGGCATATCCTGAACACCATCCATGATCTTGAGGTCCATTCATCAGGTCAATGACTCCTTCACCATCACTATTATGTCCCAACAAGGCTACAGGAGAGAGTCTTCTGCTAGTGCTGTCACTATCCATGCTTTCTATAACCATCATTAGATAATCGAACTCACGACATACATACGCATTCCAGTCACTCTCATATACACAGCCATTTTCTCGAATTATACCTGAAATTGTACATCTTGACACTTCATAGATAATTCTAATTGTGTATCAAATGTAGACCAGAGTGATATAATATATATATTTCATCTCTTGATCTAATTTTTTCATTTAAAGATATGAATAAAAGGAGATGTGACACCAATTTGACACAAAAATCCAAAAGACATCTATAGGTAAACATTCATTCTTCAACAATAAACTAGTGTCTATACATTATGTCAAGCTCCAAATCAACATGAGTCCAGGAATTTTATGAATAAATTTAACAGATACTAAACTAGAGTCTCTCAAGTGCCTGTGTTGCTCACCTGTATTTACTGATGCTTTGGAAATCATGTTAAATAAGGTTAAAATCAGTATTAATAGTATACACCTATTGACTGGTTATGAGGGTAATAGCAAGTTTGTTGTCCCTGAGGTACCAACTATTGCTCTAGGCGAAGCCGAGGGAAATAGTTAGTATCAAAGGGACAACAAACTTGCTATTACACTCATAACCAGTCATTAAGTGTTTTATTATACCGAACAAAAAATCTTTCTAAAAAGTTTACATACACCACTTTGAAAAAACACCCAAATAGTCACTTAAACATGCACAAGATGAACCATTTGGTTCCTTTTGCCCGTGTGGTATTTGTAAATATCTTATTTACTGTAATCAAGACCGGAAATCCTTGTGTAATAATTCCCGTGCATATAATAAATGCTAGATAAAATATATTACCGTATACCAAAGCAATCACAGATTATGAAAACGACGACATTCCCATACCATACATTTGTTTTGTTTTAGATCTTAAAATATGTAGTTTTTCTTTTTCTATTTTAATTGCTTCTGGTAAGTAATATACATGTAAATTTGAAATTACAACGACAGACACATACAGATTATAACGTTTACGATATTTCAGAATTGAACGCGTTGCCAAGCATAATAATCAATGACGTCATTGTTGTCCAATGAAAAATTAGTATGAAAAAATCCGGGAAATATGTTGATAAAACTATTAACCGGGGTAATAGTCTTTGAAACTATTTACTGGCAAATAGTCTGTGGAATGTAATAGCACAAATATTTCATTCTTTTTTATATAGAAAAAACATACTGAGGTATAATAATATTAGATATTAGATATTATAATGATAATGATATCTAAGATAATAACAAAAAACTGCAAAATTTCTGTAAAATTACTATCTCAGGGGCAGCAACCCAACAACGGGTTGTCGTATTTGTCTGAAAATTTCAGGGCAGATAAATCTAAATCTGATGAACATTTTTGCAACCTGTCAGATTTGCTCTAAATGCTTTAGTTTCAGAGATATAAACCAAAAACTGCATTTTACCCCTATGTTCTATTTTTAACCATGTCGGCCATGATGGTTGGAAGGCGGGGTCATTGGACAAATTTTTTAAACTAAATACCCTAATAATGATTATGGCCAAGTATGGTTAAATTTGTCTCAGTAGTTTCAGAGGAGAAGATTTTTGTAAAAGATTACAAAAATTTACGAAAAATTGTTAAAAATTGACTCTAAAGGGCAATAACTAACTAAAGGGGTCGACTGACAATTTTGGTCATGGCGACTTATTTGTAGATCTTATTTTGCTGAACATTATTGCTGTTTACAGTTTATCTCTATCTATAATAATATTCAAGATAACCAAAAACAGCAAAATTTCCTTAAAATTACCAATTCAGGGGCAGCAACCCAATAACAAGTTGTCCCATTCATCTGAAAATTTCAGGGCAGATAGATCTTGACCTGATAATCAATGTCAGATTTGCTCTAAATGCTTTGGTTTCAGAGATATAAGCCAAAATCTACATTTTACCCCTATGTTCTATTTTTAGCCATGGTGGCCATCTTGGTTGGTTGGCCGGGTCACCGGACACATTTTTTAAACAAGATACCCCAATGATGATTGTGGCCAAGTTTGGTAAAATTTGGCCCAGTAGTTTCAGAGGAGAAGATTTTTGTAAAAGTTAACAGACGACGGACGCCAAGTGATGAGAAAAGCTCACTTGGCCCTTTGGGCCAGGTGAGCTAAAAAGATATGCCATTAATATTTAATTCATAAAATGATAAAATATTTAGATATTACTGAAGACAACTACTGATTTATACTAGACTTGGGACAGTCAAATGAACATATATTTTTGAGACCTTCCCCCACCCCCTTTATTATTTTTTTTCACTCAGTGGAACAACAAAAAGTAATTTAAAAATGTACAATAATATTAGTACAAAAAAGCGAAACTACTGCTATCACTCCCTATTGTAGGTGGGACATAAACATATTGTGAAATATACAGGTTGTTGGGGAAACTTTATTTAAAGCATAGCCTAGGAAAAAGCCAGAAGGGTTTCAAAATATTAAGAAAATGTTGAAACCATAAGAGAGCGTCATTTAAAAACAAAGTAAAACTATTTAGATTCAGCATGTCAGACTCTGACCCATATGTACTGATCACAGAATAGTTTTTGTCATAAGTAGCAATTCTGGCCGTTATAGCTTTTTTTTTAAAATATTTGAGCCATAATTTTATAATAAAACATAGAAATGATAAATGAAACATCAGTCTCAAATACTGAATATTGAATTCAAACTTTTATTGAAAAATAAAGTACAATTTAGAATAGCCTCATGGTGAGAACTGCCTTGTTGTCAGTGGAGAGTCTAATAGTAATATTTTGAGGAAATCTGAATTCTTTATAACAATAATAAGATTGTGGATCTCATGTTACCTTTCATAGGAGCTAGAGTACTCATGGGAATTCTAGTTCCATCCAATGTTACCTTTCAAGGGAGCTAAAGTACTTATGGGAATTCTAGTTCCATCCAATGTTACCTTTCACGGGAGCTAAAGTACTTATGGGAATTCTAGTTCCATCAAATGTTACCTTTCACGGGAGCTAAAGTACTCATGGGAATTCTAGTTCCATCCAATGTTACCTATCATGGGAGCTAAAGTACTCATGGGAATTCTAGTTCCATCCAATGTTACCTATCATGAGAGCTAAAGTACTCATGGGAATTCTAGTTCCATCCAATGTTACCTATCATGGGAGCTAAAGTACTCATGGGAATTCTAGTTCCATCCAATGTTACCTATCATGAGAGCTAACGTACTCATGGGAATTCTAGTTCCATCCAATGTTACCTATCATGGGAGCTAAAGTACTCATGGGAATTCTAGTTCCATCCAATGTTACCTATCATGGGAGCTAAAGTACTCATGGGAATTCTAGTTCCATCCAATGTTACCTATCATGGGAGCTAAAGTACTCATGGGAATTCTAGTTCCATCCAATGTTACCTATCATGGGAGCTAAAGTACTCATGGGAATTCTAGTTCCATCCAATGTTACCTATCATGGGAGCTAAAGTACTCATGGGAATTCTAGTTCCATCCAATGTTACCTATCATGGGAGCTTAAGTACTCATGGGAATTCTAGTTCCATCCAATGTTACCTTTCATGGGAGCTAAAGTACTCATGGGAATTCTAGTTCCATCCAATGTTACCTTTCATGGGAGCCAAAGTACTCATGGGAATTCTAGTTCCATTCAGCATGGTCAGCATTGTTTTAGGAACTCTGTAATCACCAAGTCCTCTTTGTGGATCACCGTCCCATTCCCATTCAGACTGTGGCAAGATTGTTCCAGGTGTACCAGGTGTCCCCAAAAATGTCCCATCTAAATCTTTCAGAAAACCTTTTTTTAAACCATCACAGTCCATATCTACACAGTCAGCTGGGTTAATCAATCTGAAAATTAAAGTGAAATATGACACAAAAATTACATTGTTTTCTTTTCCAAAGGGCAATAACTTTATAAACAAATTATTATTGCACAAAACTTTAAAATGCACAACTTGCCCAGTCTTTGGTTTTCATTGTTGTGTTTTGTATACTGTTGTTTGTCTTATGTTCTTTTTCGTTTTTTGCCATGGCGTTGTCAGTTTATTTTTGACTTATGTGTTTGAATGTCCCTTTGGTATCTTTCGCCTTTCTTTTGCATATGCTACCAAGTTTTGTTCTGATCATAAATGTTATATAAGAGATGTAGTTGCGGTAAGAAGTCTTCGAGTTTTGTTCCAATCCAGTGATAACTTTGTAGGAAATTTGCCTTGAACAACTCTTTTTGTAGAATAGTGTATAATTTGTTAAAGGATTTATCCCCATAAAGACAGGTACTATTCTTTGAATGAATTTGTAATACATATTGCATAGTTTCTGTTGACTATAACTGTAATAAGTGTAACATTATTGACAAGCTCTTTATTTAATTTGCATTAGCTTTAGTTTTAGAAAAAGGTGTATTAATAACAGAAACTAGCTATAAAATGTATTTTGTGTCTATGCTTAACACTCTGATTTTGTATTCCGACATTTACCTACCCTAGATTAGGCCTGTGAAAATAAATTTTGTGCTTCCGTTCCACATTCTGGAATTTGATGTTTGATGTCTCAACAGGATGTGCTCCGTCATTATTTGAAGGATTGGTTGTGATTGCATTATCTCTACTGGAACAAGCTGTTGTGAAGTTCCTAAATTCAACATCTACAATAATATATGACATTTGTACTTTCATTAGAAATGTTATTTGTAACAACTTTCTACTTATCAATTGCTTGATTGTTGTACTGACCATTTGTTTATACATGTATTCGAAATGATACCTAACTAAAATCATCAAAGGAACTCCATGACAGTCAGTCTTCAAAACAGAAGTTGTATGTTACCATTCGATGGCCATTAGTAGTAATTATAACAATTTTCAAGTTAAACATCAAGCCATGGATAGGTGATGTTAGCAAGGTATTTAATCAATATTTTCTGGTGGAAATTCTAACAGATAGCTCTTCAATTCAGTTTATTTAAGTACAAAATCAAAGTGGATCTCAACAAAGAAAACCTTCATACAAGTTTTGTTCACCTTAGTGAAAAAGATGATGATAATGTTTTTGCCATCGTTGATTCAGTCGACAATTCATCCTTCAGAAAATAAAAATAAAAAATAATAAGAAGGTCTCACCTTAAGTGACTTTGTTGCATGCACAACAAAAAGCCTTACAATGCTAGATCACTATATTTTACTCTCAAAAAGAGATAATTGGTGTATACTCTTCACCTAATTGACTTTCCAAATATTGGCTTACCTGTCAACTGACACATATTTTGCAGGTGTAACCTGTGAATTTACCAGCTCACCCAAGATTTTCAATACCTGTTCGGGTCATCAAATGACCCAGGATTTCATCAAATGACTCGTTTTCACCATTATTCTAGTGCCATGAGACTTCCAGTGTCTAAAATGCTTAACATCATTTGTATTTTCCTTTGAAAAACATAATTTTAACACTCTTTTGATTGAAAGGTAATAAAGTTAACAATTAGCTAATTATCTCATTAATTGTCCCCAGAAAGATTGAAGCCAATCAAGCCAGACATCCAATTTTATGTCCTGATTAATAAAATTTGTTGCAAATATTAATTATCCTATCAAAATCATTCCATTTCTTCAAACAGAAAGATCAAGGAAAATTATAAAATGGCTCACTTTCACAACCTGAAGGACCAAACCAGTTCTCAAGGTTTTTATTTTTGATCTCCTTTAATTCAATTTCATAGGGATATTTTTAATAGCAATTTTATCTTAAACATGAAATTTGTTAATATAAAATATATAAACCGCTTACAATATTTCCTCACATTACAGTGTTCTTACACATTTATAAACATTAGAGAATTGTATTCTAACACACATAAATGTTTATAAATGTCATGTAAAAGTATCTCAATTTTTTTAAATAAAAGTCTGATTGATTGATGCCACCTTCGCATGTACTATTAGCCTTAATGTGGTGATCTAAAATGAAATCAAATATAATAATATACTTACTCTCTATGGTAAGTAATCCTCTAATTGCCATAGGGGACTTGGATCCAGAGCTGAAAGTTGCAAAGGGAATTCCTATTCTTTGTCCGAATGGACCTTTTTTCAGAAGCGGTTCAATACCTTTCTCTGATTTATTTACTCTATCAATATAACAATCAAACACAGGTGATGTCCCTACTATGACAGAATTATTTACAATGGCAGTTTTATCTGCATACTGATGTGATGTGGCAGAGGGTCCCGTAATTGTTATAGATATGCTAATTGGATTGTCTGCTAAAACAAGATTCTCGAATACTACTGATACACCACCATCATAATACACTCCATAATATCCACACTTTACCAGAATAAAACCGCAGATTCTATTACAATAAATTTCAGCCTGAGTTGTTATTACTCCATACAAAGAAGAGCGTCCAATATTACCAGAGTACCATTTTGAAGATGACGCATTACAAGGTTGTGCAATGTCATAAGCAGCCCTTTCTGATCCAGAAACACGGTTGTTTTCTAACACTAAATCTGTAGCATCTGCAGCTGAAATGGCGCCTAATAGATCAGCTTCAAGGTTTTGTGTCATTGTTACAACATTTCTTCTTATAATGGTTCCATAAGAATCAGTTATTATGGCTGAAATAAACATGTGCACAATAATGAAAAAAAACAATGACTTTTAGGTCAACATTTACTAAGAGTAACAATATGTTTTTCAAAATAAAAAACAAACCCCATTAGTGATCTGATAATTTTTGTCCCTATCCTACCTAGCATACTTTGGTTGAAAAGACTCCTAAAAATTACTCTCCTGACTTCAAACTCTGAATGGAAGATTATTTGTTTCAATATTAAATTCTTTTTTATAAAGATATGTCTGTCAGTAATTTCAATATTCTATCAAATCTGCTTAAGAGACCACCTTTATTGAGAAAATACATGTGATATATAAGACCATTAACTTCAGGCCCTCTTAAGTGCATTTCAAATAGGTTGAATCTGTATTAAAAGACCACCTGTCTTATGATACCACATTTTTGCTCTCCCTTAAGTTGTTTCCTTAAACAGGTATCACTGTATCCTGATTGTCATGTAACATTAAGTGCATTATCATAATTTACTACATGTATTTGTAATTATATAAATTATTTTTAGTGACCTTCATGAATAAGATACTGCCTTACCATAAAAATGACTTCCATGTATAACATTGTCCTCGATTGGCAAATACAAGGCATTAAATATTCCTATAGCTGGAGAAAATCCATTATGGAATGAACAATTACGTATATAGGATGGTCTTATATAATTGACCGGTCCTGAATCAACAAAGGATACAGCAAATCTAGGATCATATACTTTTCTGTAATTTTTCCCATCTTGTCCCATATGGTAAAACTCTGTATTTGAGATTCGTGCATATCCTACAAACCATAAGATTTTATATATTTTATACATCATATTTATAAAATACTGGTGACAGAATTATGTTTTTATCATAATGATGATTTCTAAAAAATCGTTAATAAAATCAATTTTTATAAAATATTGTCTTTAGTCTTTAATCCTTAAGTCTTCCCTGCATTATGATATATTACTATACAAATAAAATTTAAGGTGATGTAAATTGGATCTAAAATACAAACTTTTAACTACTGAGGGAGGATATTTAATTCTGTTATTCATAATTTTACAAATTAAGACAGTATTCTAAAAATAGAAAGAGAATAATGCCCTTCAGGATTAACATTAACTAAGACAAGATACTAGGGGGTGTTTACCGACCTTGACTACCCATGAGGGTCTCCCACAGTCAGTAAGACAAGATGAACTCAAAGATTCAGGTCGCTCAACATCATTTGCAAATGCATGTAGTCTCTTTTATACTTGAGTGTATCATACACTGTCAAACTGCTGACCTAATATGAAGTAATTCTGTTCAGTATTACACCAGAAAAGTGTGACAGAAATATTTTTTGGATGAACAATCAGATGAACATATGAATGGAAGGTTGGGCAGACAGATAGACAAGGTGAATGCTATATAGCCCTCACTTCTTTATTGTTGTCTAATCATAATTGTTGCCTTTTAATAGACAGTATCCAGGAAATAGTAATTTCTTTGAATAACAAAGACAATAACTGGGATGGATTAAATGTTCAACGAAGAACAAAAAAGGTTTGTATGCTGACTTAGGCATAACCACAAAATCAAATATCCACATAAAATATAATCATTCCTCAATCCATGATTATTGATATCTGCAAAGATAAATGAATCCACAGTACATAATATGAAATAGAGGACAAACTTCTTTTTAGGCAGGAGGTGTGTTAACATGTTTCTTACATGTAGTGCCTTATCAAGTTAGATATGAAACTGTACTTTTTATTTTGAAATGAACATTTCATTTTCATACCTTTGCTGAACTCTGTTTGTCCTACAATTAAACGTCCGCCATATTTCTCTTCATATAAATCAGGATAATCTTCAGACTGTACTTTAACATTCCGTGTTAACAAGCCAACTTCAGCTGTAATATCCACACCATTGTCATTGTAGGCTGTAAAATATTATGGATACTTTGAAAACATTCTCATTGATATTATTCTATTTAGTATTTGGTTAATGAACACACTATTTTACGTCAACTATGTGTTTGCTAAGACAATCAATCTTTGAGACAATTTTTCGATATCATACCTAATATGAGTTAATATATTTAACATCAGAATGAATGATAAAAAAAAAGGTATGGTAATTATCTCCCTTGAAAAAAGTATGAATGAAATAATAGGTGTTTAGAGTGTAATACGAAATATTTAAAAGCATTTCAATAGAGGAGACTGACAATATGAGATCACATAAACCATGTTTTTTGCAATATATTCACTAAGCTGACCAGGGTTATGTCTACATGAAGATACTTGATCTCAACTGGACAAATTATTCCAACTACAAGTACACTTACACAGGTTTTTGTTCTTGCTTCTAAATGGCACTCACGTGGGGGAGAAAAATCTGTAGACACAGAAACACCAAATATCATTCTAAAAGTCTTTGGTTAGACTACAATAGGGATTAAACAGAACATAGCTGTGGAAGCTACATTGAGACCAATAAGAGAAATACAAATTCTTGTTATGTGTAACCTAATAGACCACTTTCGAGTTATGTCCTTCACCGGAAAAGTTCGTTGATTATGCACGCCTTTATGACGTCTTTTACTAGATAGAGGGGACTGCCTGTATCGCTGCACTTTTAAAGTTCATCAAGTGTCTTCGTGATCGTCATTATGCAGGATACTAATTCAATGCTTGTTCCTTAGGTACTTAATCACAATTCCCTAACGACAGCAGTGCTAATTATCAATTATAAGAATTTAATTTGCCAAATAATATGTGCTAAATAGCATCATATTTTTTCAACTGCTTGCTCAACATGGGAAGGAAATGACTGCCCCTAAACGCACGAATGATGCTCACTAAAACCAAAGTTTTTGACAGAAATGCAACAAACTCGAAAGTGGTCTATTAAATGAATATATTAACTTGTCCAATGTGTATTTGATTAATTACTTGAGTTTGTTGTTTTCGTCTACTCATTAAAATTAGCACGGTCAAATCACACATATATTCCATAGTTAGACCTGTCATCTTTCCTGATTTATTAAGATATTCCACCCATGATATAAACTGAATACTTCAGAAGAGACATTCACAGGAGTTGAAATGGCATTTAAGCACATTAATACTCAATTAAATTCATATAATATTTGATTACTTTTATAAAATATACAATAGATGCATCTTTTAACCCTGATAGGAAAACACATACAAACCTACTGACAAGCAGACACTTAATAACAGTAAATAAAGATAACAAGAGTGCACACGCTGAAATGTCTCGCCTTCTTTACTAACCATTGATTTTATGTTGACAGTCCTAAATATAAAGCTTTACTACAAGTAACACATAAACTTAACATGATCCAGGAAAATGAGGTCAAGTTCAGATAAACCAAACGAGAAATACATGTACACCTTACAATCATTCAATAAACCAAACATAGTTGACCTATTGCTTATAGTTTCTAAGAAACAGTCTTAACCAAGAAAACTTAACATTGACCAATGAACCATGAAAATGAGGTCAAGGTCAGATGAACCTTGCCAGACAGAAATGTACAACTTACAATCAATTCATGCATTAAATATAGTTGACCTATTGCTTATAGTATCTAAGAAACAAACTTAACCATGAAAACTTAACATTGACCAATGAACCATGAAAATGAGGTCAAGATCAGATGATACTTGCCAGACAGACATATACACCTTACAATCCTTACATACAACAAATATAGTTGATCTATTGCTTATAGTTGAAGAAAAACAGACCAAAACACAAAAACTTAACACTTAGAAATGAATCGTGAAAATGAGGTCAAGGTCAAATAAAACCTACGAGACTGACATGTACATCATAAAATATTTCCATACACCAATGATAGTTGACCTATTGCATATAGTATTAGAAAAAAAGACCAAATCTCAAAAACTTAACTTTGACCACTGAACCATGAAAATGGGGTCAAGGTCAGATGACACCTACCAGTTGGACATGTACACCTTGCAATCATTCCATATACCAAATATAGTAGACCTACTGCTTATAGTATCTGATATATGGACTTGACCACGAAAACTTAACCGTGTTCATGATCCATGAAATGAGGTCGAGGTCAAATGAAAATTGTCTGATGGGCATGAGGACCTTGCAAGGTATGCACATACTAAATATAGTTATCCTATTACTCATAATAAGAAAGAAATTAACATTACAAAAAAAGTTGACTTTTTTTCAAGTAGTCACTGAACCATGAAAATGAGGTCAAGGACAATGGACATATGACAGACGGAAACTTCGTAACATAAGGCATCTATATCCGCTGCCAGATCACTATCCCTATGTCGAGCTTTCTGCGACAAAAGTCGCAGGCTCGACAAAAACCAGGGAAAGTACAGACCATAGGAATTTATAAAAATATGTATAAACTCTAATTTAATTTTCAAATTCCCAATTAACCCTGACAGGAAAATGCATACAAACCTAAATGTCTATACTGTATGGTATCATTCAAGGTCAAAATTGACATTCCATCTGACTCTTCAACATTTGTTATTTGGAAGGTTTCGGTCTCCCAGGCACTATACCCTGTCGGTGTAACAACTATTTCTTGTTCAACTTCCCAATCCACAACTGTATTTAACTTGATAGTGCTGTCATCAGGGTAAGCTGTTGTATTAAGGGTTGTCCATGGCATATTTATTGGCTTTCCATGTAAATCTAATCCACCGTAAACACCTGTACATACAAATTAAAATTTGCAGGTAGTAAAGGTTTATTTTTGAATATGGTGTTTCCCCATTTGTTTCATGTGATTTTTTTTTTGTGCTGAGAGTACATAGTTTTACTTTTTTCCTACTAATAGGTAAAAATTAACAATTCAGACCAACAAATTTTTCTTTTATTTAAAATGAAATCATATATTTACTAAATTTCTATGCACATATCCTTACCCTTTAAGGTAGAATGAAAAAGATCTACCATGACTGGGTTGCACTTAATGTTAATTGTTCTTTAAATTTTAAGTGTTAATTAAATTATTAACAAACACAGATTATAATATTCAAACAGCAATAAACGTTACTTGACAAATATAATGGTAAACGATTGGTCTCTATTTTTTTTAAATTAGCTAATTTTTAATGCAGAAATGCATTCTATTCCACAGACTTTTCATTTGAATGGGTAGATTAATAATCATTTTATGGCAAAAAAACTTACTACACTAAACAATATACATACCAATGACCTTTGACCCGATATTATCTCCACCATTTGGAAGCTCATATGTTTCATCTGATGCATTTCCTCTCAGTGTTATAAGAAAATTGCCCATGAAAGGACGCTTTTCCCAACCAACAATAAGTCTTCCACCATATATAATGATACGTGTCACGTTTACGGTGAAATTCTTATAACCTTCTGTATAATTCTCATTGTCAAATTCCAGAACTCCACAGATAAACAATTCCCCCAATGGTGGTATCTCAATATCTGCTAGCACCCATGTACCTAAAGAATATATCATTTATCAAATATTCTAACATTTATACTAACCAATTCATTATTAAATCAGCTATTTTCTAAATAGATATAAAAATAAGAAGATGTAGTTAATGATTGCCAATGAGACAACTCTCCACATGAGACCAAATGACACAGAAATTGAAAACTATAGGTCACCTTACGGCTTTCAACAATGAGTTAAACCCATACCCCATAGTCAGCTATAAAAGGCCCCAAAATGACAAATGTAAAACAATTCAAACAAGAAAAATAACAGCCTGATTTATATACAAAATAAGGAACGAAAAACAAATATGATATACAGAAACAAATGACAACCACTGAATTACAGGCTCCTGACTTGGGACAGGCACATACATAATGTGGCTGGGTTAAACTAGTTTGTTGGTGCCAAACCCTCCCCCTAACCTGGGACAGTGGTGTATCATTACAAAATCAGAACACTATTTACAGCCTTCAACAATGACATTCCATCTGACTCTTCAACAAAAATTTATGAAAAAACACAAAATTTGTACTTATCTGACCAACAATTGGTATTATTTTGTTATTTGATAACATTCCACAATTAAATACACATATTAAAGTAGTATGTTTCTAAGATGCTCTTTTAAATTTTTTTTACAAGAACATTTGTTTTTAAAACATAAACCTACCACATTCAATGGCCACATCATCACCTTCCTGTGGAATGGTGTTATTAGGCCAAATTGTTGGATCAGACCATCTTTTAAGGCCTAGTCCCCACCATGTCATAGCATCGTCTACACCTCCAAGTGTAGTATCAACTGGTGCTACTGTTTCCGGTTTGGGTGGCACAATACAATCCTTGAAGTAACATTTGAAACACTGGAAGTTTAGATTATACTGTACACCAGTTAGTGATCCTCTTCCTTTCCGAGAAACTAAAATGAAAACAAAATATGTACAATAAACATTTATATTACTGCCACTTTTATTTCTTAAATTATAAAATCAAAACAGAAAGAAATGATCTCTCATTAATTGAGATCAAGCAATCATGGCCATGTCATGGTGCCTGTCCCAAGTCCTGTAATTCAATGGTTGCCTTTTATTGTTGTATTTCATATTGGTTTTTTCATTTATTGTTTTGTACATAAATCAGGCCTTCAGTTTTCTTTTTTGGATTGTTTTACATTCAGCTCAGACTGATCCTTCAGGCTTATTGAGCTTAAAATTGGATAGATGATAAAATATGATGAACTATGAGTTGAAATAAAGGCCAACTGTAAACAGTCTCAAGAAATTGGAAAATAATAGTTTGTCCAAACTTAATTACCGGTACATAGAGATAAATCTAATTACATAGAGATAAACCTAATTACATAGAGATAAATCTAATTACATAGAGATAAACCTAATTACATAGAGATAAATCTAATTACATAGAGGTAAATCTAATTACATAGAGATAAACCTAATTTAGTGTGAAAATTAACCAATCATCATTTCTGATGCAATTTTAAGAAACATATTCCTTAAATCCTACAGTTCGTTCATGAAATAAATGAATCTATGATTTTTAAAACACTTGACCAATATATAACATTCTAAGGCTAACAATAATCTCAAGCAAATCTATATATATTGACAGTGATCCATTTCCTAGGACATGAAAAACTGCAAGAAATAATTGATATTATATTTAAGTCAAGTGGACAAAATAAATTATCTTATTGGTCTGTCTACTTGATAATCAGAGATTACTTCTAAAGCACACCCCTGATTACTTTGATTCAAATTAATTCTTGAAATAAATGAATCTATGATTTTTAAAACACTTGACTGTTTCCTTGTTATATTGCAAGGCTACCAAAAGTGTAAGAAATAATCAATATACTATTTAGTTTTTGCAGGTTTTAGGGTCAATTTCAAGTTGCATTAACCACATAATACTGTACCTAGGAAGCTGACAGCTCCAGTAGATTTGTCATAGTACCAGTCACCGTTAAAATGCTCCTCTGGGTCAAGTGGCATCTCTGTGCCGTTCTTCCTACATACTCTATCAAATACATACACACAGTCAGGTGTTCCACCAAGTTCAATGGTAAATATCAACCAATCATCAGCCTAAAAATAATCATGATAAACACTCAATACAGATGATCTTAATTAATCAAATCCTTCTGCAATATAAATTAAGAACAAAATATAACCATGACCAATGTCGTAACATAACTAGAGGCTCTCAAGAGCAAATGTCGCTCACCTGATTTTACTTTGGTTTGGAAATCATGTAAAAATAGATTAAAATCATAACAGATACCCTAATAATGATTGAGGCCAAATTTGGTTTAATATTGGACCCGTAATTTAATAAAAAAATCCTGGTGGTATGTATTTCCCATAGGGTCTTATGTTAAACTAAGTCCCCTGTTGGCAGCCATCTTGGATGATGGTTCGGCTACAAGGCTACAAAGTAAGAACACTTGGTCAGCACCTCATTAGGACCATTCATGCCATGTTTGGTTTCATTCTATTCAGTGGTTCTCTAGAAGAAAACATTTGTATGTATTTCCCATCAGGTCCTATGTTAAACTTACTCCCCCTGCTGGCAGCCATCTTGTGGATGACAAATCAGCTACAAAGTAACAACAATTGGTCAGCACCTCTAAAGAAACATTCATACCATGTTTGGTTTCAATCCATTAAGCGTCTTTTTAGAAGAAGACATTTGTATATATTTCCCATAGGGACCTTTGTTAAACTGAGTCCCCCGTTGGCAGCCATCTTGAATGATTGATTGGCTACAAAGTAACAACACTTGGTCAGCACCACATAAGGAACATTCATGCTATGTTTGGTTTCATTCCATTCAGTGGTTCTCTAAAAGAAGACATTTGTATGTATTTCCCATAGGGTCCTATGTTAAACTAAGTCCCCGCTAGTGGCCATCTTGGATGATTGATCGCCTACAAAGTTACAACACTTGGTTAGCACCTCATAACGAACATTCATGCCATGTTTTATTTCATTCGATTTAGTGGTTCTCTAAAAGAAGACATTTGTATGTATTTCCCATAGGGTCCTATGTTAAACTTAAGCTTCTCTCTGTCAGCCATCTTGGATAATGGATCGCCTACAAAGTTACAACACTTGGTAATCACCTCATAACAAACATTCATGCCATGTTTGGTTTAATTCCATTCAGTGGTTCTCTAAAAGAAGACATTTGTATGTATTTCCCATAGTGTCCTATTTTAAACTAAGTCCCTCTCTGGCGTCCATCTTGGATGATGGATCGGCTACAAAGCAACAACACTTAGTCAGCACCTCATAAGGAACATTCATGCCATGTTTGGTTTCATTCCATTTACGGGTAGTGGTTCTCTAAAAGAAGACATTTGTATGTATTTCCCATAGGGTCCTATTTTAAACTAAGTCCCTCTCTGGCGTCCATCTTGGATGATGGATCGGCTACAAAGCAACAACACTTAGTCAGCACCTCATAAGGAACATTCATGCCATGTTTGGTTTCATTCCATTTAGTGGTTCTCTAAAAGAAGACATTTGTATGTATTTCCCATAGTGTCCTATTTTAAACTAAGTCCCTCTCTGGCGTCCATCTTGGATGATGGATCGGCTACAAAGCAACAACACTTAGTCAGCACCTCATAAGGAACATTCATGCCATGTTTGGTTTCATTCCATTTAGTGGTTCTCTAAAAGAAGACATTTGTATGTATTTCCCATAGGGTCCTATTTTAAACTAAGTCCCTCTCTGGCGTCCATCTTGGATGATGGATCGGCTACAAAGTAACAACACTTGGTCAGCACCTCATAAGGAACATTCATGCCATGTTTGGTTTCATTCCATTCAGTGGTTCTCTAGAAGAAGTTTCAAATGTAAAAAGTTAACAACAATGGACGACGGACGCCAAGTGATGACAAAAGCTCACTTGGCCCTTCGGGCCATGCAGGTAAGCTAAAAATGCAAAACCAATCCAGTGTACATAACAAATTGTTCTGGAATAATCTTCACAAGTCCATTTGCAATTAAGTATGGGAAACTCTTTAGAAACTATAGAAATATATTTATACTCATACTTAATATATTTTATAACTTAGACAAATTAAAGAGTGCAAAAACAAATTATATAAAAATGAAAAAAAATCAGCATAATCTGTTTGCTGTTGACATATAGGAAGAGTTATTCCAGCCTCGTCTAAATGCGCAGAAAAGAAATCTGTTTCTATTCATCATAACTGACTCAAAAAATTGAAATCTTTCTAACCTTTAATAACTTTTCATATAAAATAAAACTTACATTGAACAATGTCAAGGTACCACTAAAGCTAACATTGGTATTTAGTTTGGTGTTGTCGAAATGCATGGTATACTCCTCACGTGTAGAGATCATTATCATATAGCCTAATGGGTGAGTCACATACATTCTTTCCCAATTAATTGTTGTATTCCCATACTGATTTTCAAACCTAATTGGTCCACGGTATAGTCCCCCTCGTTGAAGGTTATTAAAAGAAAATCTCAAAACATTAATGGTGCATAGACTCATTGGTACGCCAGCTGAAAAAAATTCAAAATCTGTACAGTTTGGAGGATGCATATCTGTTGTTGGTGCAATTATAGATCCTGGAATGTTTGTTTTGGCTGTCCCATCCAAGTCCATAAATGAAGCCTCAAATTCAGCTATTGAAGCTCCATTCGTAGGGCCAACATTTGTAAATTTAAGGTTTTGAGTTCGATAATGGAAACCTCCAGGTGCATTATGATCAGTTGCATGTTTTACTGAAAAAGCTGTACAGCCACCATTAAAGTTTATAAATTCTGTCCCGTCCACCATAAATCCAAAATTGTCTGGTAACGAAATACCACTGGCTGTACATCCACCAAGACTTGATGTTCCAACAATCACTCCATTTTTAAATAAGGCCCCATTTTGAGAATACCATTCCCCTTCAAGGTGAGTAATTTCTTCATAACCAGCTTCACTATTGCTAACAAGTGTAAAGTTATGAAACTGTAGTGCCCCTGCCTTTACTGATTCAGCTCCTTTTCTATTTCTCCAAGCATAGAAATTATCAAATACAGTTGGCTGTGGTGTTCCTGACCAACAACTGCCATCTGTACGAGGTGTATATGTCGTAAATATCCAAAAGCCGTACCATCCAAAGGAGTGAGCAGTATTGTGGGAAAAGCTTCCTAACTTCCCTCTTTGTGGACAAACTGAAGTAGTGCTAGAGGGACCATCAGGATGTGTATGCATACGATACCAAAATCCAAAGTGAGTTCCACCTACTGCTACATTATGTTCAACAAAGTTATCAGGGTGAGTTATCCAGAATGAGGCTGGTGTTATATCATCATTTACCAAGCTAGAACTCTCCCTAACAAATATCACTAAGTTATATAGTAGTTTATTGCCAGTTTCTATACCGTCTTCTAAAAATACAGTCCCACCCTTTGTATTGTAGATGACATTGTTTTCTACAAGGGCGTTGTGACTTCCATGAATATTGACACCTCGATTAAATGATTCATGAATAGAACATCCTTTTATGTATGTTGAAGACATGTCACCTGCCAAATGCAGATGAAATGGATATCTTCCTAGTCGAAAGGCTTGCCCAACATAAGTAAACTCCACATATGAAACTCTCCCTATAGTTAGGTTTTTGTTTGGTTCTGGTGGATGAAACATAACTTGCAAACCGAATTCGTCACTTCCAATTTCTTCTCCAAAACGCCCTTGAAAACATGTTTGGGTGGCAAATTCTCCTATAAAAGTTAAAAAGTATTAAAAAAAGACAAACTGTCATAGTTATCAATTGGTTAACACTTCTGCCAAAATAAAAAAAAACTGATAGCAATGTTGTGCTACTCTTTTAGACTATGGGCAAACAGAAAACAATGGCACAGCAGATATGAAAATCACACAACTCAATATTATCATATATATACACAAAACTTCTTACTTCAATCTTATCATCTCAAAATTTCTGTTATCTCAAAGTATAATGTCTCAAATAAATCATTATGATTTATATCATTATAACTTCTACTTATATACCTCAAAATTCCTACTTATCTCAAATCTATATGTTTGTCAGTCTGATCAACTCTAAGATTAAAAGAGTTGACTATATATAATAAACTGTTGACACAGAGATATGTCTCACCTGTCGACATTAAATCCAGAAAAAGACAATCCGATGGACATTAACATTGTTAAGTTTTCTGCTTAAATTAGATTGGTAGGAACTAAAGTGATAGATCAATGATATTTTGTATAAAGTTGCATTACTAGCAGTACATATCAGTTTGATGAATATTTTGAGGCCCTGTCCCCTAGGTCATGGTCCAGTGACTTTCAATTAATTACCAATTTTCAATGTTTTCTGCTTTAGTTATTTTGAAAGGAATTACTTACAATTGACAATTATATTTTCTATAAAGTAACATTACTGTCCGTACATCTAAGTTTGTTGACCATTTTTAGGCCATGCCCACTAGTTCATGGTCCAGCGAACTTTGAAGTAATTAATAATGTTTATGTCCATCGGATTGTCTTTTTCTGAATTTTATGTAGACAGGCGAGACTTTCAATTTTCTCTGAATTCCTAATTCTAAAATGTTACAAAGTCAAAGTAGAAAATTAAAAAAAAAAACATTGAAAACCAGCAAGGGTAAATTTTCGTAAAATGAAAGTGTTTCACCTGTACTGAAACCTCTTGGACATGCTGGAATAATTTCTGTCCACTGGCGATCCCTCTCACCACGTAAAACAATATTACGAGTCAACAATCCAACCTCTGCTCTGTATTCAAAAGTATGACTACCAATGGTTTCACTTTCTCCTAAATGTTCGTATTTCAAAGCGTTCACTAACGTTAATGTTTTCATGTCTGTTACTTCTTTAATAGTGTGTTTTTCATTCTGTCGTTGAGAACTAGGACCACCTGTTGTTGCTATGACGATTTCGTCCCCTGACTGCCATGTCACTTCCCTTTCTAATGTAATAGTATTTGACCCTGCTGCAGCTGTAGATGCTAAGTGAGTCCATACGACTGGTACAGGTTTTCCTGAAATGAAAGCATTTATCAAAAGATGGAGAAATTATGCTTTGATGGTTTACAATAAGTACAAAACATTTTGCTTTGAACTGCATATAGCAACTCTTCTCTTTTTTACATGAATAATTTGCATGTAATTTTATAACTTACTGACAGGCGGTTTCTTTTAATTTAAATTCTCCATTGCTATGCTTGTCCAAAATTAAAGCCTTTCTTTGCTTACTTCCTTTAAGAATATTAAAGACAAACTTTGAAACCAAATAACGAGATTCTAATTTTGCATTATAAGACATAGTAAATTTACCATGCAGATCCAGCACTCCTTCTCTGACACCGAGTGAATTTGTACCATAAATAGGTAATTCCTTAGTTCGTAGGTGGGCTGTCCCTGTAATATATGCTTTGTGTTGGAATGGTTCACTCTCAGTACCAATCTTGTAAACAGAAAGTAAACAATCAATATACTTAGCATTCCCCTACACACAGCAAATTGGAATTAATTAATTTCAAACTTTTATGAAAGATTAAAGGAAATGAAGTCAAATGACATGACATCTAAAATCAATTTGTACTTTTTTATAATATTACTATGTACAATATTGTAAACCAACTTATTCTTGATACTTTTTTTGCACTTTGATTTCATCTTAGCCTTGATCATTTTGGGGGATTTTCTAATCTCTTAATGTATTTATATAAGTAAGTTATCATCAAAGTTTTAAATATTCATAAGATTTATTTTCACTTTTATTTTCCTTCTTGCCAAATCCTTGAAAATCAGATGGTTTACAGTATCTGCTGGCAAGATGAAAATATTATGGCAAAAGCAATATTCGTTAAGTTTTTTTTAGTCCATGGACTGTATATAGTTTCACCAAGAACACAAATATTTAAACACAAGTGAACCAACGCCTGGTAAATCTTCTGTCGGTAGATTCCATAAAGTGGATACCTTGGGTATGCAGGGTCGTTACGATAAAAACATAAAATGTAGAAAGTCCTGTAACAACAACACTTTAAGGAATGCTACAGTAATTTATTGAGATCGACATGTTTCGGTTCCTGATGACAGTGGCCTAGCCACCGAAACATGTTGATCTCAATAAATTACTGGAGCATTCCTTAAAGTGTTGTTGTGACAGGACCTTCTACAAGAAAAAAAATAATATTCAACTTTCTCATTTTCTTTAGAAGCTCCTGTTCAACATTGGCCTTATGAGAATCATGGAACAAGTTAGCCAAAAGAGGAGCAAAATGAAAAAAAACTTGTTCTCCAATCATAAAAAATATATTGTGTATAAATAAAAAACTAAAGAAGTAGAAAAGTCATGTAATAAAGCTCTATGTAACAAATCTTATTTTGTACTTGAACACATGCTAATATGGACAATTTAATATAATTCACTTGTTACTGAAAAAACACACAATAACTGAAACTTACCTGTAATCTTCCTCCTTCAACAATTAAAATGTTATCTGCAAACAGTTCTATGTCCTTTTCATCAAAGACAAGTTCACCACCTACAAAAACATAGATTGGTTGACCAATTTACAATTATTTGTGTATTTAGAAATAAATATTTAATTTTACATCTTTTGGTGATTCTTGGACACTTGGAATTTTATAAATCCAGTTTATATGAGATACTTTGCTATCATTGGATTATAAAAAAATTTCCTAAGCAGTTATTGATGTGTATACCGATACTTGGCTTCTGACTCACAAACTTAAAATTCAAGTCCTTCAGACTTTATATATGAAGAACTTTATACAGTTTGTTAGTTAATTCAAGTTTACACACTAATAACCTCTAGACAAGAGGCTGTCACATTGACAGCAAACGGAATTTTCCTGCATGAAAATGATTTTTGCAAATCTGGACCACCAAACAGGATCAAGTAAAAAAGTAAATGAATTTTTGTAGGGTTCAGAAATGGAAAAGCCAAAATCAATCTAAGTATCACTTTTCGCTGTGTTTAATCGGATGATGCAAATACACACCATGGTTGATTAAAGCCACAAAATTGAAGAATCCTGATAATAAAATGATTGCAAAGCTATAAAAACTTTATTGTATAGGTAAGGCAGTGCTCACTTGTAAATTTAAGAAAGCCATTGTGAAAGGTTTTGGCAAACTGAACTAATATAAACTGGATTCATAAATCCAAATGTAGCATTGATTATAAAATATTGATACAACATTTTGAACAATTTTAAATAACACAATCTTCTGTTTTTCTGTCAAATTATAATATCAGGTAAGTTTTACTATGACTTGCAAACATAGTAAAAACTTATCCAGATAATTACCGTTAATAACAACAGGGGCCAATTCTTGAGAGTGACAATAGGAATGTTGGTTTCACTTATACTGTAAGTTATTCTTGCTGTTTGGATATGAACCTTTTGTTTTGAGACCATCTAATATTGGGTGAAAGGAAAACATGACAGAAATTTACACAAACTGAAAAAAAGACAAACCTTTAATGAGTATCATCTTCAAGCGAGCTGTGCTTTTATCAAGGAGTATGATGTTTCCAGCTGGTATAACCACGAGGGTACCATCTTCAGGAGGATCCAGACCTCCCCATGTATATGGAGAAGACCAGACATCTATATAGAAAAACTCAGCATTTGTCTGAAATACAGGTCAAATTATCTGACTATTGAGTTATTATATTAATAGAATAGAATGTTTACATTATTGGTCTTTGAAACAAACTATGCACTTATATGAAGTGATAGTTATGCAGTTTTATAGAAAATATCATTGATCTATCACAAGTATATCATATCAAATTTAAGCAGAAAACTTAACATTGAAAATAGCATATTAATTGAAAGTTGCTGAACCATGACCTAGGGGGCAGGGCCTCAAAATAGTCGTCAAACTGATATGTACTGACAGTAATGCAACTTTATAGAAAATATCATTGATCTATCACAAGTAGTTCCTATCATACTGACATAAGCAGAAAACTTAACAACTGTTGACGCCGTCAATGAAAACCCCCCTTAGAAAAGCAACACCTATGTCTCACCTTTTGCAACTTTTGTCGCAGGCAAGACAAAAATCAGACTCAGCCTTTCGGTCTAGTATAAAGCAGAGTTCATATTCATTTCACATCAACCTTTTCTTGTATTGAATAATGTATAATTAGCCACTTGACATTAAACAACCATCAATCATGATCATCATGTATCAACAGTGGCATGTAAAATGGTTTTCATATGGTATGAATGTAAGTGACAATGTCATATGGTATATGTTTTATCCAATCAAAAAATTCTAGTTTTATAAAATTGAGTCGTACTGTAAAAATTCTGAAACAAAATACACCAACCTGTGTTGCCATGCCGTTTCCATTAATTTCCACCCAGACTTTTGTCTTTTGAGATGGACTGTGTTTTCCTGTTAGACATACAATTTCTGTATCTGTTACTGTTGAGACATTACATGGTGTTCCAGCAATTTTTACAACAACCACTGACTTATCTATGCTGCAATATCAAATATAAAATACTATAATAATAACTGCAGAGATAGCTTTGAAAATGGTGCTCACAAAATTATATTTTCAATTACTTGCCCGTTAAAATATTTGTCATAATGATGTATAATCAATGCCTAAGGTGTTTGGCACCCTTATAAACTGAAAAATGATTTTTTATTATGATTACTATATCAAAATTTCATTAATTTGAATACTTAAACACTAGTATTCTTCTAATAATAGCTTAATAACCCCCTATCTTGAAGTTATTTGTGATTTGTGACACTATGATTGTAATTTAATAACCAAGAAATATAGGTGTGACAGTGCCTACAATGCAATTTTCCATATAATTAATATTGACAAGGGACATAATTCTTTTATTAATAGTTAATAGGCACTGATTTTAGAACTTGTCCAAGACATTGCTAATGTAAATTAGATAAATATCTGGCAAGAATTGTACACTGGAGAGCCCTTAAAATGCAATATTCTATTAATTTACATTTTGAAGGGACATAACTCCTGTAAAAATATTGATAAGAGCTGATTTTCAAACTTATCCCAGCCATTACTGATATAAATTTTCATATAAATTCTATAAAAATCTGGTAGGAATTGTAAACATGAGAGTGTTAAGAAGACCTGACATGCCCAGTGTTTTTGTTGCCTGTGCAACGTGTTACGGGCGGGCCAAGGGAAAAAAATGACAAATGTTCAATTGATGAATCAGTGGTAAAATAAAAATCTACTTTAAACAACAGATCTGTTAGCCTTCGTGTTGCTCAGGGGACAAAAATAACATATGTGGAATTGATAAATCAGTAGTAAAAATGTTTAACACTTTAAACAGCAGATCTTTTAGCCTTTCATTAGGTAGGGCATTGTCAAAAACGTCTTTTTACATTTCCATTTTGTCAGTTACTGGGAAAAGATTTAGAAATACAACAGACACTCTGGTTCCCATTAATGTTCAAGATGAGGTGGCATTAAATCAAAAATAAAAACAAAATGATAATGAAAAGTCCTCAAAAAATGAATGTACAAACCAGAAATTGTCTCTCCCTTTGGCAAAGTTGCACTTAGACAGCTTTAAATACTCTTCTTTGGCCATTTTGAAATTGAGGCTAAGTTCACATGTTTATAAGGTAACTTGTTAAATGAAGGAACTTACCCAAATCCTGTTCCTCCTATTGTTAGGAACACTCCTCCTCCAGTACCTCCTCTAGCAGGTGATACACTGGTAATATCTGGAGTTAAGGCTTGGCTGTAAGTATAACCACCACCCATTGGTTTCTGCACACCATCCACTGTTGTTATAACATCACATGACTTTGTGCCAGTAACTACATCTGTGAAACATAGTTATTAAAATTTAGCCACCATATGTATGTTTTTAGTGAACAATTTACAATTCACTTATATGATGGAGCTAAAACACATTACCGTCTTTAGGTGTGTATAGTATGTGGGTTTTTACCCTGGGAATGATTTCTGGAAAGGGGGTGTGTATTATGTATAGCTACACTGTTCTTTAGACTCTTTTCAAGCCGAATTCCGACCAAGAAACCAGATGGTCTGGAGAAAAAATGATTTATTATATTTAGTTACAGAAATTACACTGAAAATAACTGTTTTTAAACTGTTCCAAAGTTTGCCAAGAAGAACAAAAATTGATGAAAGTCATGCAAAGTCATGACTATACTTTTGTACTTGTCTCCTGGTCTATTTGGTATTCAAAGATTCTCAATAAAAAATTATAAACCTGCAGATGGAGGAGTGACACAAATGAACTCTGAAGCTGATTGGTTGGCTTTGTCGTCTGCTGTACATGTCTTTCCACAAATGGTCACATCTGTTGTATTGTCAAAGCCTGATCCTATTACAGTAATTGTCTGTCCTCCAGAAACACTTCCTTAAATATAAGAAGTAGAAAAATTGGAAATTTTGCATGCACATAAGTAAGTGTGATTTCATGAAATGCTGCATACAAATAAGGCTATCAAAATTGAAAATGTGAGGTTTTACTTTTGAAACCTATCCAGATGCAAGTTTTACAATAATAAAAAGCATTGCAAAAAATTTGAAAAAAATAATTCTTTCTCTCCTTCATACTAATTAACCTCTCCTCTAAGATTATCTTTAACACTATAGGTCAATCTTTTTTTGAGTCTATTTATTTAATTTTACATTGTGTTGCTTTTTGTGCATACATTCCTCATTTTTTACAAAATTTATTTGAGCAATATTTTGTTTACTTGTCAACTATTTTTATGTAAAGAAATATTTGTTTTTATTGAACAAAATTTTTTTTATCTCAATTAAACATACATTTTTTACTAATCTGTATGTGAACCTGTGATTTTGTTTTATAAATCAAGATTTGAGATAGATTTATAAATTAGAAATTAAACAATTAAAAGAATGCTTATATTGAAACAATTAAGTTAATTTAACATACCACTACTTTTTTGAATACCAGTTACAGCAAATTCAAATTCAAACTGCACATCACTATTGGACACTCCCAAGCCTTCAACAATGACCAACACTGTTGCTGTTCCAATAGATCCTTCACTAATAGTACATTCAATCATGGTCATGTTGTAAAATGTTATCTCGCAAGGAGCATTCCCAACTGTTACCTTATTTTCACCATCTGATGAACCAAATGTTGAACCAGTTATAACTAGACTGGTTCCTTTTGTACCTTTCAGTGGTGAAAGAACAGAAATAATTGGAGTTACTGCAGATGAATATTCAAATCTCCATTCAGCATATGTAACGGAGTTAGAAACAACAGCAACACTTGCATTACCCTCGCTACCACTTCTTGTTACACAGACTATTCTGGACAAGTTTGTTTCTTTAATATCACATGCTGACCCACCTATACTGACCACTGTCTTTTCATTAATGAAGCCATTTCCTGTGATAACAATTTCTGTACCCCCATAAATGCTGCCCTGGGTTGGGGAAATGTTACTTATTACAGGTTGACTAGTCACAAAGAAAGTTTTGCTTTTAGTTGCCCTGCCTTTGTCATTAATAACAACATCAACTGCCAAGTCCCCCACTGGAGCATGTGTTATAGTACAGGCTATCTGCGAGTCTTTTACAGCTTCCACAGAACAAGACACATCTCCAACTTTTACCACAGCATTTCTGACTACAGTGGAAAAACCTGAGCCAGTAATTGTTAAGGTAGTCACATCTCCGTTAAGAGAGGTTGGAGTAATATCTGACAATTCTGGCGATACTGCTGATTCATAGACTAGCTGGCATTCAGTGTCGCACACAGCAGGAATGGTCATATCATTTACACTTATCTTAACAACTAAGGACTTTGTTCCAAATCCAGATGGAGGGGCTATACAGTTTATTTCCGTGTAAGAAACATACTGGATGGGGCAGTTGTATCCATTAATTATTACAGTAATGTCAGATGTGTCACCCTGAAAACCTGCTCCCATGATGTTAACTACTGCACCACCATTGGTCGAAACCATTTCTGGAGAAATGCTGGTTACCACAGGCAACACAACTAATGTCCGAGCAGTCTGACCTTCAACTGCTAACAGTGCATATCCAAGGTTATTTACACGGACTGCAACATCTTGCCTCACAGCAATCATTGGTGAATTACTTGAATCAATCATACATTCAATAGAAGATTCGGTAGCTTTTTTAACGATACAATTTGCATCCCCAAATGTCACCTCATTATTGCAAGCAGTTGTGGAAAATCCTGATCCAAATATAGTAACTGTATCTACAGCTGTAGCATTGTCTCTCCCAAGTAAGGTGATCGTTGGACTATGGCACATGTCAAAAGAAAATTGGAAAATGGAACTTGGGGATAAATCTGGCAGGTCTTGGCATGTTAAACTGTTTAATCCTGGACAATTACTGGTATCAACTGGGTCAGATATTCCTGTTAAATAAAGTATAATATACTAATTTTGTCTAGTCTAATATTATGACTTAAACTTGAGTTTTATACATTGTGCATGTGAGTTTTATATATTATACATGTGTATTTTATTTTATAGATTTACAACAGTATGAATATATTAAATGAAACCACAAATGACCGTCAAAAATGTGAGATTTAACTATGCAGAATTATAACTGTTATAAAAGTGAACTTTGACTGTAGGAGATTATGATTGACTGTCATAGAGGCGATATCTATCAGTGTAAAACCATGTGTGACTGTCTAGAAGTGAAATTTATCTGTAAAAAATCATGCATTATTGACTAAAGAAGAGAGAATCAACTGTTAGGAACTATAAATAACAGTCAATGAGTTAAAGTTAAGCACCATAAGATACTCAACTACCACTTTCCTTTAGTTACAGATAAGCACCATAAGATACTCAACCACCACTTTCCTTTAGTTAAAGTTAAGCACCATAAGTGAGTGGGTAGAATAAGGAGCCTTATGTTCTCCCCTATGTTTGTATTATAAAGAGCCTTATGTTCTTACCTGAGTTTTTATTATAAAGAGCCTAATGTTCTTACCTGAGTGGGTAGAATAAGGAGCCTTATGTTCTCCCCTATGTTTGTATTATAAAGAGCCCTATGTTCTTACCTGAGTTTTTATTATAAAGAGCCTTATGTTCTTACCTGAGTGGGTATTATAAAGAGCATCATATTCTTACCTGAGTGGGTATTATAAAGAGCCTCATGTTCTCACCATAGTTTGTATTATAAAGAGCATCATGTTCTCACCTGAGTGGGTATTATAAAGATCCTCATATTCTCACCTGAGTGGGTATTATAAAGAACCTCATGTTCTCACCTGAAATGGTATTATAAAGAGCCTCATGTTCTCACTTGAGTGGGTATTATAAAGAGCATCATGTTCTTACCTGAGTGGGTATTATAAAGGGCATCATGTTCTCACCTGAGTTTGTATTACAAAGAGCCACATGTTCTCACCTGAGTTGCTTTTATAAAGAGCTGCATGTTCTCACCTGAGTTGCTATATATTATAAAGAGCCTCATGTTCTCACCATAGTTTGTATTATAAAGAGCCTCATGTTCTCACCTGAGTGGGTATTATAAAGAGCATCATGTTCTTACCTGAGTGGGTATTATAAAGAGCATCATATTCTCACCTGAGTGGGTATTATAAAGAGCCTCATGTTCTCACCTGAAATGGTATTATAAAGAGCCTCATGTTCTCACTATAGTTTGTATTATAAAGATCCTCATGTTCTCACCTGTGTGGGTATTATAAAGAGCTTGATGTTCTCACCTGAGTTGGTAGTATAGAAAGCCTCATGTTCTCCTATTTTCACTGATACATTAGCAACAAAAGGTTGTTTATCTGTAACCATCAGTGTTCCTCTGTAGTATACTATCTCATAGTAATCTGTGTATCCACTCCAATACTGGAACTCTCCTGGTGTTGTCACTTGGTATCGGAACATTCCTAACATATAAATCATTTAATTAACTGGTCCTTTAAGTAAATATACTATGCAAATAATAAATTGACAATTTCACAGCTGAGAAATCACTCACATCTTTGAAGTTAATTCGAGGAGAGTTAATGTCACAGTACCCAAATTGCACCTATTTAGCAAAAATAGCAGTGAAAGTCTTACAAGTTCTCTTAGGGACTAAACAATTTGTATTTTTTCATTATTTGATATTATGCACGTCTTTCAAATAGGTAAATATATTTAAATATTCACAAAATGGTCACAGTATAAATCAACATATGAAGTATTCACTGGAAAAAGTAAAATCTACGGAAAGGTCGCAAGGCGACGTCCAAAAAAGTCATCTTTTAAAAATGAGCAAATAAAATATGTTAAGAGCATCCATTTCTTAAAAAATGAATAGTAAGCATGGACTAATGTCAAACTGTTCTAAATATTTGTAGAAATAAAACAAAACATATGTTATTCGATTTTTAAGGATGTGAATTTAAGCATGGATGCAATTTGGGTACTCCTCATTACAGAATCATGGATCATTTTGGAGGTCGGTTCAAACCCATTTTTCTATGATTCAATATGGATTCAAAATCAAATTGATGGAACTATAGTAAATAAGGATACATAAATAAGGATACATCTACAAAATAAACACAGAATGGAAACTTTTGTCTGGATCATAAATAAATGTAGGTGAAAAAACTGTCAAAATAGGTGCAATTTGGGTACCCTCACATTATACATTTACTGGAATGTATCTAGAAAATTTGGAACTATTTTTCAATTCAAGAGGCATAAAACAAATGACTTCAAGTCGCACATGCCTTAGGCATTTGTTGGATGTATGATAGTTATATGTACAGCTTTCAACTATACTCATGATGAAAGCATGCTCATGATTAGGTTGGAATATAATCCTTGATTTCACATAGACTGACATGCTTACCCAAACTTACATAATGCTTGCTAACAGGTTTACAGTCTGTAAAAATTCTGATTCCAAGCTCAGCAGTCATGTTCTTCCTCATAAAAGCTGGATGCTGATTGGAGGAGCTTGAAATGCCAATTCTTAGTCTTAATTTTTACCCAGATCAACCAAAGTCAAAGCACGAACAGTACCAAAAGAGGACAGAGGATCTGTTGATATATGGCATGCAGAGTTTAAATAACCAGAATGGCAAGTACAAATCATATACTGTTACTCAAAACTCCATTCAATTTGTTTACATTATTTGCTCTTTTTGACTTAAGCAGAAAACTTATCATTGAAAATTACTTATTAATTGAAAATCGCTGGACCTTGACCTAGGGGCAGGGCCTCAAAATAGTCATCAAACTGATATGTACTAATAGTAATGCAACTTTATAGAAAATATCATTGATTTATCACCAGTAGTTCCTATCAAACTGACTTAAGCAAAAAACTTAACAATTATTGACCCCATCATCTCCGCAGCCTGAAAAGCAACACCAATGTCTCACTTTCCACGACTTTCGTCCAGGGCGAGACAAAAACCTTTGATATTAAGAATAAAGAACTGACAAGAACTGAAAAGTTGCACAATCATTGTTGACATTATTATGTCTGACTTCTTACACCAACATAAAGCAATAATGGATTTTGCTGGTTTTAACAAGGTGGAAATCATATAAAATAAAAAAATGATTGGATACTTAACTAAGATATATCAATCACAAACTAACCATTGTATGTTCCTTTTGTACTGCTGATAAATCCATCAGAAGCTCTATCTGTAGATGATTCACTCTTTGTCTGCTCTATACGATGGGTGAATGTAAGAATCCATGGTTGGCTTGTCCATGTCCATTCAACAATGTCACCTGCCTCCAAATACCCCACAAGGGGATTCCATTGGTATCCAATACCCCAATCTATTGTTTTAAGAATATAAAAAATACATAAAAAATATATGCTTATACAAATCAGTCTGTAACAACAAAATTGGTATTTGGCTCCTTCAGTTTTACTTTTTTTTGGCTACAGGCAAAAGCAATTTGCAATGGAAAACGGCTAGAAGAGAGTAATTATCAATCCAGTATTTAGTTTTGTTTCAGAGTATCTTTAATTCTTAGCAAATGCAAACTTTTCCCCAAACTGGGAATTTTTTTAAATTCCACATCTTAATTGTCAGAATATTATTTTTGATGTCAAATTTTTTTGCCATGCTCTGGTTTTCTTTTATGACAGAATAGAAAAAGACATCAATCAAACAAACAAATTGTGAACTGCTAACAGAAAGTATACATACGTGGATGTACTCCTTGGTTATTAATCTTTATGACAGCAGCTGTTTCATCAATCAAACATACAATTTGTGAGCTGCTAACAGACTCTACACCACAGTTATGACTTCCAATGGACACTGCTATTTTGTCTTTAGGAGTTTCAGCACTAAAACCTTGTCCAGTCAATGTCAGTCTTGTACCCCCATACATTGACCCGTAGCGAGGAAACACATTAGTTATAGACAGCTGGTACTGTATGGAGGGGCGAGAACCATCACTAAAAGAAGTCAATAAAACTTTTAATCTAAACATTCAACAAACAACATTATCTCTCCTGGTTTGCCTGGATTTTGCAAATATTTGATCAAGTAACTTACTATAAATTAAAAAAAAATTGTGTTCATTTAATATAGCAATTTTTCAATGGTGTATAAAAATGTGAATTTTAATTATTACAATTTCAGGAAATGCTTCATAGAAATAATGTTATCTTTATTTGTAAAGATAAAGCAATCAATGAACACTGACTCCAAAATAGAATATGTATCTTACATGAACTAGGCATTATCTAGAGAACGATATTGATATATATATATATTAAATTATACTTTTTCACTTTTTAGGTTTTTTGGAAAATGTTGTTTGTGTTGTATTTACACCCCTCTACCATGAAATTTGTTTTGCATGCACACGTATAAAAATTGCGGTTTTTATCCAATGCAATCATAGTTTGAACGTTGTTTTCAATTTAGACTTGTTTATAATTTTTAGTTTGGGCTTGTATTATATTTGCCTTCAGGTTTATATGATCCTTTCATCCTATTTCGACTCTTCAAAATTCAAGAGTCTATCCTAAATTGAGGTAAATTTTATGGCCTTCCAAATACCGTTTCGATTTCCAACATCACTGAAGAGACATTAATTGTTGAAATCCGGATATGGTGTACTAATTTTTGCACCTTTTGTTTGCGGTATACCATCTTTTCCGCAAGTTTATTGTTTTCTGTTTGGTATTAAATTAATAGTTAAGATCCATTTTGTTACATCTGGTGATCCTTTTATTTGGCAATCGCCAATGGCAGTCAGCAGGATTTAAGAACATCTGTTGTTTGACCTGCTAGTCAAATGTGTTTTGTTAAAATATACTTTTTCACTTTTTAGGTCTTTTGGAAAATGTTGTTTGTGCTGTATTTAGACCCCTCTACCAAGAAATTTGTTTTGCATGCCAAGTATAAAAATTGCGGTTTTTATCCAACGCAATCATAGGTTTGAATGTTGTTTTCAATTTAAACTTGGACATAATTATATATAGAGAGAGAAAGAGAGAGAGAGAGGGTTCTTTCTTTGGCTTATAGAACAATAACTTAACTTTTTTGGTTATTTTTTTTGAGGGGGGAGAATTATTTAAATAAATTGCTTTAATGAGATAAAAAGTTAAATGGAGGTACTCATAACATGGTGTAGAAATTGGTTGATTTTCTGAAATATCCAGTTACATTATCTGCATCTGAATATATCCCCCTATCAAAAATCTAATTTTTCTGAACCATGAATAAGCCAATTATTGTGATTTATCTATTAGACATATCTTGTGCAATAAGTTAAATGTTTTATTGAAGTTCATTTCTTAGAAAATAATTACAACATTTAATTTTATCTCAAATATTTTTAAAACATATATAATACAGACTAATGAAAAAGCAGATATTAAATATGACAGTCTTTTGTCTGCTAAATGGAATCTCAGTTTAACAATATCTTCCTCTTTTCCTCATCATAGAAATACTGCCCCTTTAGAATATGTTTTTAAAAATAAATTTTAAATTGTAAATTTGAAAACAAAATGTTGTTGGCCATTCTTAAATTGGCAAAGCTTCTTGGCAAGGCTGACGCCAGGGATAGGCACAGTAATGTTACCTGTGAACTCCAGCTCCATTACTCTCATTAAATACCAAAACTTCATATGTCCCAGGAGGAAGTGACGGCATCACAGCGGTGATGTGTGTGCCATTTATGGTTGCTATGGGAACATCTGTTGATCCTATTTTCAATGTGCCATTGGAAGCAAAGTTTGAAACAGAAATGGTAAGAATACCACCACCTAAATAAAAAAAAAATAAAATTTATAAGTGGTAAAACAGCTTGTGCATTCTCACTTTGTCATGCAATTATGTAGTACAATCAATAATTTTAACAAATATTAGGCACTGAGATCAAAGAAAAATTGTACAAACTGTTGATAAAAACAGTTCAGTAACTACTAAAGTATTTATCTATTGGATACACAAATATTTCCAAGACAGTGTAAAAAGAATCATTTACTGATACATGTAATAACAATATAAAGGGGCTACATAATATGGATTAATTCATTGATTTTTTATCCTCTATAGAACATGTCTCTTCAAAGGAGTTGACCTTTGTAAGGTACATAACTCTTGGTCACTGGTTTGTTCAAAGGAGTTGACCTTTGTAAGGTACATAACTCTTGGTCACTGGTGGGTTTGCGTCATCTTATTCTATAAATATATTCTAAGCTTCTAAGATTTTTATTCTAATATTTTTATTCTGTTTCACATGCATGCTTTTAAAGCATTGAAGAAACTTACTATAAAAAACATATTATCAATTTAAGGAGTTATTTTCCCAAACTAAGGTTTACTACCTCCTTTCTACGGTACAAAAGCGACTTACCTAAAACCTCAAAAATCGTTGGTGACATAGTGCCAATAGTTGGTGTATCTGCTGAAAGGTAGGAAAACTTAGTTGGGCATGATACTTCATGGCCATCAACTGTCACCTTTACATCTACATATCCTGCTGGCTGAAAAAAAATATGATAACATTTGGCTAACTAAGATAAAAATTTGTAAGGGTTCCGTGGAACCCAGTGTCTCGCCTACTTTTTCTGTTAATTGCAGGCTCAACAAAAATGAGGAAGTAAATCAATAAAAATATTCCACTTAATACTATCTTTATGGAGAGTTGTCTCATTGGCACTCATACAACATCTTCCTATATCTAATTGATTGTAAGAAGCTTCTGTCCAAGTTTGGTAAAAATCAAGGATAGTTTATGAATCTAATAAATGTTTTAAAACTTGAACTGCAGACTGAATGTAATGTTAACTGGAAGAAAACAAAATGTCCTTCTAGATACTAGCTTTTGATCATAAACAAGCTTCTGTCCAAGTTTGGTACAAATCCAAAATAGTATAAGAAAGTTATTAAAATTTAAAAAACTTTAACCACAGAGTGAATGTGTTGTTTCCTGGCAGGAAATCTAAGTCCATTTAAAAGTAAAATAAGGAAAAAATGGATTTATTTTTTTACAAAATTTACTTCTGGATACTATCTTATGATCATAAACAAGCTTCTGTCCAAGTTTGGTATAAACCCAGGATAGTTTAAGAAAGTTATTAAAATTTAAAAAACTTTAACCACAGAGTGAATGTAATATTTCCCGGCAGAAAAACTAAGTCCATTTATAAGTAAAATACGGAAAAAATGGAACTTTATTTTTACAAAATTTACTTCTGGATACTATCTTGTGATCATAAACAAGCTTCTGTCCAAGTTTGGTAGAAATCCATGATAGTTTAAGAAAATTATTAAAATTTCAAAAACTTTAACCACAGAGTGAATATTTGTGGACACCGCCGACGACGACGACGCTGACGGAATGTAGGATCGCTATGTCTCGCTTTTTCGACAAAAGTCGAGGGCTCGACAAAAACCAACTGTAAGTACCCGGTAAGAATAAATAAGCAAACAAAATGCAAAAGAAACAAAATACAGGGAAAACTTGAACATCTAATACGAATATAATAAATGAAAACAATCATCTCAATGTAAATAATTTTATCTTATCAAAAATATAAAAATTTTAAAAATATGGAAAATATAAAGCTCAAACTAAAAGAGTTAACATATGTACAACGTTTTTCAAAATTGACATACGTGTATGTATATACACGATTTTGGAAACAATGTATTTTTTTGTTGTATGTTATATTATGTGCAAGTTGTTGTAATGAAGTAATACGAAGTGTAGTAACACGTAGTTATGTGATGATATTAATATATGTAGACAGAAAAAGTGTGAACTCAATGTATAAACAGCTGGTTTATGTTTATATATTATATAGGTTTTTCCCTGTACTATTTATAGCAACGAAATGCCTAATTCAAACATTTAAAGTTCATAATATTATTGCCAAACCGGTATTTACTCAAAACAGTGAAATAGTTTACACACATATACTAGATATAGTTTTTAAAAATACTTTTCCGTGTTTAATATTGATAATAAAAGAGATAGATTACTTACCTGTTCAACAGTTGTGCAAAAACATCCATTCAACAAAAGTAATTTCCATGATTTCCGTGCAAATTTATACACACATATTTTATACCAGTTTCACAAATTCAAGGTGTGTAAATGAAATTTATATATCCAATCCAACAATGTATGTTACAAGAGAATATTATGAATATCTTTGTTGTAGAAACATAGAATACAGATACACAAAAAATGTTCAGAATAATAATCCATGTGTATCAATCAGCATGTATGTACATATAAAAAAAATGAGTATGCGATCCCGCATTGTGATGTTTATAATTATTGCTATTTCTTTACAACATGTGTGTATAACAAATTGATATATGTGTATGGAGAAAATGAATGATTTATTTTGTGGATAGAATTGTAAACTTTTTAATATGTTATTTGATAACACAGTAAAATTGTGCAGCCTTAATGTAAATGGCATGCACGCAAGAGAAAAACGTAACAGGGTTTTGACATGGTTAAAATCTCATAAAATATCAATAGCCTTAATACAAGAAACTCATATAGACTTAGATATTGAAAATGAAATCAAAAATCAAACTAACTTTGATGTTTTTTGCAGTAATGGTACATCAGCAAGCAGGGGGGTCTCGATATTTATAAACAATGTATTAAAGTATGAGATTATAAATCATTTTACAGATAAAGATGGAAGGATTGTTTTATTAAATATCCAAATTAATGACACAATTTTTTCAATAGTTTGTTTATATGGACCAAACAACATAACTGCAAGAAAGTCATTTTTTAAAAAGGTGGATCTCTTTGTGAAAGAAAATGGAATTGGAATCCCAATAATTGGGGGAGATTTTAATGAAACATTTAAAAATATTGACAGAATAAGTGCAAGTAACAATCACAAAAACAGTAAACCAGTATCAAGCTTGAAATCGTTATTAAAAGAAAATAATCTTATTGATATTTGGCGAGTTATGAATGAAAATGTACAACAGTTTACTTGGAGGAGAAAAGATAAATCTCAGGCAAGTAGAATAGATCTAATATTGATTGGTAGCAATTTAAGACCTCAGATGGATACATGTAAAATTAAACCGGCAACGATTCAGTATACTGATCATCTGAGTGTTTGTTTAACATTTAAAACGGGGGCGTCAGAAAAAGGACGTGGATTTTGGAAACTAAATAATTCTGTCTTAGAAAATAAAGATTATCAAAGTTTAATTAACAATGTGATTACTAACTTTTTAAATCAATACCAAAATAAAGATACAGACTGTCGGATTTTTTGGGATATATTAAAACTTGAAATTAAAGAAACTACTGTAATATATTGTAAATCAAAAGCTAATACCAAAAGAGAAGTCACACGCACCTTAGAAAAAGAATTACAAGAAAAGATGGTTGAAAGAGACCAATTAAATTTGTGTTACTCTAATTTAGATGATCATATCAAAAATTTAGAATCAGAACTGAATAAGATTTATGATGAGAAAGCCATTGGTGCACAAATCAGAGCCAGAGAAAAATGGGTTGAATTTGGAGAAAAAAATAATGCATATTTTTTGGGACTTGAAAAACAAAGGCAAATTAAGAAATCGATAAATAAGTTATTAGATGAAAAAAACAATGTTTTAAAGGATCAAAGTAAGATTTTACTTGAAATTAAAAACTATTATGAAAAATTGTTTTCAACACAAAATCCGAATGATACATTATCTCAAGAATACATTAAAAATACAAAATTAGAAAAAAAATTAAATGATGAAGAAAAACTATTGTGTGATGGTTCAGTTACGCTTGAGGAGTGTTCTGAAGCAATACAAAATATGAAATTGAACAAGTCTCCTGGACTTGACGGTCTAACCGTAGAATTTTACAAAACATTTTGGGAGAAGCTTAAATATTTACTTGTTAAAGTATATAATAAGGGTCACGAAGATAATTTATTGACTTACTCGCAGCGGTCTAGTGTTTTGTCGTTAATATTTAAAAAGGGGGACCCATTAAAATTAGAAAATTATAGACCAATTTCATTATTAAATGTCGATCTTAAAATATTGTCCCATGTACTAGCTCAACGACTGAAAAAAGTTTTACCAAAACTCATAAACACAGATCAGTCTGGATACATAAAAAATAGATTCATTGGATTTAATTTAAGGCAAATACAAGATATTATAGATTATGCAGATATATATAATATAGAAGGGGCTATTGTTTTTGTCGATTTTAAAAAAGCTTTTGACACTCTTGAATGGAAATTTATGTTAGATACTTTATATCACTTTGGATTCAATGAATCATTCATAAATTGGGTTAAAACTTTGTATACTGATATTCAAACATGTATTATTAATAAAGGGTGGATTTCAGAAATGTTTAAGAATTCAAGAGGGATTAGACAAGGGTGTCCTTTATCTGCTCTACTCTTTGTAATATCCGTTGAAATATTGGCACTGAGACTTCGAAATAACGAAGATATAAAGGGATTTCAGATAAAATTTGATAGAAAAACACATTGTATTAAAATAAGCCAATTAGCTGATGACACAACTTTATTTTTTAATGATAAAAATGACATCGAACTAGCATTGAATGAAATTGAAATCTTTGGATCTTATTCGGGATTAATTATAAATAAAAATAAAACAGAAGGGATATGGATAGGAAAACTCAAAAATAGTAAAGACAAAATTGCAAATATTAGCTGGACAGATAAACCTGTAAAAGCTTTAGGGATTTATTTTGGAAATGATAATGAAGAATGTGAAAAATTAAATTTTGAAAATAAAATAGATAAAATGGATAAATTACTTACTCTTTGGAAAAAGCGAAATCTCACTATGTTAGGGAAAATTTTGATAATAAAGTCTTTGATTATACCACTCTTCACCTTTTTAGCTAGCTCATGTGTATTTCCAGAAAAATATAAAAAAGACATAGAAAGAAAATGTTTTAAATTTATCTGGAATGACAAACCAGATAAAGTTAAAAGAAATACGATGATTGGTAGTTATGAAAACGGGGGTTTGAATATGATTGACATTGAAAGTCACTTTGAATCACTAAAAGCATCATGGATAGGTAGAATCTTAAATAAAGATATTGCCAGATGGCAACTTATACCTTTAAAATATTTACAAGGCTCAGGAAAAAATTGCCTAGCAGTTTATATGAATATGGATTATAATAAAGTTGATCAATATCTACCTAATTTACCAAAATTTTATAAAAATGTATTAAAATGCTGGATGAAAGTAGGAGGAGGACAGACAGATATACCAAAAACCTTTTACGAAATTAGAAAACAAATTATTTGGGGGAATAAATACATTAAATTTAATAACAAAAGTCTTTTTTTCAAAAATTGGATAAAAGGTAATTTGATTTATATAAATGATATTTTAGATGAAAATGGGGAAATTTCACAAGATGTAATTTTGCAAAAAATTGAAAATAAATCCAACTGGATAGCTGAGTTGACATCCATAAAAAAAGCAATTCCAA